AGAGGCTGAGTGAGATTGGTGTTCTAGACTTAACACGCAGGGCTAAGCGGGAAGCAGGACCGATAAGGACACTAGACTGCTCGTACTAGTTTTATGCGTTATTGGTCCGATCGATAATTCACAGTTCCCTAATTGGCGGTATCATCACATTATACATTAACAGGGCACACAGGACACAAGTGATAACACTTATATTAAGTCTATATTATTTCTTGTTAGAGAGTGAATGACTTTAACACAAATTTTTGTTACAAGAAAAGTTAGATGGTGGATAGCGGTGGAATATACGATGCATGTTTCATCTTAAACAAGACTCATCAGCTGGACATATCTGTATCACACAGTTGATATTCACTCAAAAACTTCAACCCAGTACCGTTTGCTTCAACCACCATTACATTATTCACTTAGCTAATGACTGTTTATAGCCACTTGATTGTGCAATGGGATAATGTTTGAATTTACCAAAATGAGACAAAACGTGTGTCCTGGATTTCACTGCTATCCACTGTCCATTTCTGCTCATAAATCTTATGACTTAAGACAATATCGAGGTAGTCAACACATGAGTCGATTAAATCCAGATCACCATGGAAAACCCGGAACAGAATCATTTTATGAGACAATTATTAGTCTTTATACATTCATCAAATTGGTTCAATATGCACATTTCGAATCTATTAGATAAAGCAAATGATAGTTTTTTTCATAAAGAAGTTAATTATTTATTTGTTAGATAAGAAAATATACTACAAGTTAGTATATGACTAGAGAAATCACGATCTATCTAGGAGAATGTCTAAATAAAAGGTATCTGTCATAAGAGGACGAGTTTATACACAACTCCATTCTTTACTGATTGATAGTAATAGTTTATTATTGTATTCTTATCTTAACTAATGTCAATAAAGAATGATCAAACCTTGGAACTACCCTCCAAAATAATGTCATCACCATTAATATTATTACTATATATGGCTACTAACTAATGTCTAAGTAGTATATCACCAATAAAAGATTTTTGAATGTCTGATTTGTGCACTAAGGGTATATAACAGTAAAATCAAATAACTAAATGAATAAACCAACTTTTATTAGATAAGTTTATCATCAATCCTGCTACATATGCTTTTTTCTGAAATATTTACGATAAAACGTTACTACAAAAGATGTTTGGTCGAATAGTTTCACAGTATTTGGGCGCCGAGTTAATGTGAGACATTAAAAAGGAAGAATGTATTTGTAAAATCTCAGAATTCATTCGCTGAGATTTTTCAAAAAATGTTCTTTTCCGACCCCTTTTCGTCAGTACAACAGTATGTAGAAGCGGTATACATTATCTATGGAAAAATTCTAGTGAACAGCCACGTCAAAATTAAAATTCAAACCAAAGTCTTTATAAATAAATCTAAATGGCACTTGTTATTATCACTTCCTCAAGTCTGAATTTATACAGAAGTTCGTTATGTGTGGTAATCAATGTCATATGTGTCAGGCCGTGCTTAGTGCAGATCGAATCCTATTGACCAACTTGCAATGTGGCCACTAGTCTAGGTAACTCGACATTGCGTGCACTATGTTGAGATTAGATGGTGGTTGGAGGTAGTCGACAGGAAACTCTGGACACTGGTTTCGTGCTACTTGGCACTCGTCAGCAAGGTGTGCCTGCAATCTTGAGGAAACTGATGCTTTCTGACGGATTTGATCCCGTGTCACCCAGCTTCACAGAGACGTTACCACTGAGCTACCCGGGCCGCGACTGACCTTTCTGACAAGTGCCAAATAGCACGACACCTCGGTCCATGGTTTCCTGTTGACTACCTCCAACCACCATGTTATCTCAACAAGTTCATTAATTCATAGCTTGGTTATGAACCATATCGATTTAATATTACATCCAAGGTACCAAGTAGTTTCGTTATATTACACAATAAGTTATGTATTGCACTTGTAGATTTAAAAATGATTTCATTATAACGTTTAATAATCTGACAAAAATAACCATAGAAAGCATTGAACAACCGTTTCATCCTACTTAAAAATATTTTGATTATTACGATTCTACCCGGCAGTCAAATGTACTGCCAATTTGGAATTTCACAGGTATTGAAACATGGTTAGATCACTTAATAAGTATCCTTTTAGTTTACATTTTTCCACTCAATCTATTTCTGATACACTGCAATCATCCTCAAGTACCATTAATGATGATTAGTTATCTTTCAATAAGTGTAAACGTCATTTTAAACTTTACAATTTCTCGTCAAACAATTGGTATATTCAATATCAATCTATTCTTGTTGCAACAGGATTTGTATTATAGAGTAAACTGTCTCATTAATATGTATTTCCACTTTGCTAGAGAGACAAAATGACATTTGGGTTGTACTGATACTACTAGCTTTACTAAATATAAGTAGTTTACGATTTAGAAAATTTATTTATAAAACTATGCAATGAATTACAATAGAAAACCAAATTAGCATAACCAAACGTCACACTTTTTTAAGCAATGTCTATAATAGCAAGTATATGCACAATTAAGAAAGAAGGGATAATGGATATAAAATAATAAGGGATTCACTTAGTGAACGTAGCACATTTCATCAATATTTCATGCAAAAACAACCAATGTTAATAGTGAATGAAAATCATTTACTCTAAATAATTATCAGAAGGGATTTCGCGGATATTTTAGTAGTTTTATAGTTGAATTTATGAGTCGATTGAAGCTAGATCACCATGGGAAACCTGGAAGCGCTGGACGGCTGTTTCGCCCCAATATGGGACTCTTCAGCAGTGCGCATCCACGATTCCGTCAAGCGAGACTCAAAATCAGGATTTATCAGTCTCTCGCGCGAACGCTTAACCTCTAGACCATATCATATAAACTTACTCGTTAATCTGATTTGATCTAAATCGCGGGGCGGGATCGTGGATGCGTATTGCTGAGGAGTCCTATATTAGAACGAAACGGCCGTCCAATGCTTCCAGATTTAAATGATTAATAATTTAAATTTTTATTTTATTTGTTGGATCATTCATTTTTCATATCAGTAAATAACTTTTCATTTGAATGGCATGCATTAGTATAAAGTAGTATTTTATAAATAGACTAAATGTATTGCCTACTACACAAGTAAATTGTCCATTAGAAGAAAACATGATTTTAGTATTCTGTTCATCTGAAGCGAAATTTCTAACGCTGTAATCGAGTTATTTGTAAATCGCTGAGTTATAAAATTGATAAGTCTTGCTAATTGAACGCTAGATTCGGTTTCTAAGCTCTTCTAGTAACCCTCAGGCTAGATTTACATAGCAACTTGAACACGAGAGAAAAGGCGCGAATTATGGAAGAAACGCTTTACTCCAAAGATTCGTTTATGTACAAAAAATCTGAGGTTTTTTATAGTAATTTAGATATCCTTGGGTTTTCGGATAATTTTGGGAATGCTAATGAACATAGTAGTAGTATACGTAATCATCCAAACAGAAACTCAACATATGACTATTCACTTTCTGGATGTTTCTGGCAAAACTTTTAGTGAATGCTGGTTGGATAAGATGCTTCTCAGTGTTTTCAGAGCCTTTTTTAACTTTCTTTTCGAGGAATTTTCTGGATCGCCCCAACAAAAATTAAATGTTCGTCAATTCATTTGACTTTTATAGTTCATTTGTATCTTAGGTTTACATAATGCATCAAGATTTGGAACTGAAAATTATGATTTTGAAGTATAAGTTCCTTCACAATTTAAGGTATATATTGCTTACGTAAACTAAGTAACATGAAATCAGGGTTCAAGATTTCCTACTCTAAACTTTCAGTTATGTAATATCATTACATAATACATACAATGTTTAGTCACTCAAACCAATTACTACTTAGTTGTTAAAATTGAATCATTACGAAAAGACTAAGCAGACATGGTATTTGTCACTATTTAGAGATCACCCAACTGCAAGATGATATTCTGAAGTATATGACTTTGAAAAGTTGGTAAACATCATAATACTTAGTTTAATATAGGTACATATAGATATTTCACCTAAATAATGATTAAAATTACAGAGACAGTGAAGCTAATCCGTGTCGGGTAGAGACAGGTATCTATCTCAGTACAATGAAAGATGATCGCGCAATTTCGCGAATTGGTTAAGAATAGACATTAACACCATTGGATGCCGGTTCAGTAGTCTAGAATTTAAACGCTCGTGAGCGAGACTGATAGGTCCTGGGTTCGAATCTCGCGAACAGGATTGTGAGGAGTCCCACAATAGGACGAAACAGCCATCCAGTGCTTCCAGTTTTTTCAATGGTGGTCTAACATCAATCAGTTCATGACCTCAATCAAAACAAACTCAATCTCACATTTTGATACCAGTTCTTATAAAGATTTCTTGTGTTTCAATGAATATATGGATAGTTAACATTGATGAAATCAATATTCAATGGAACGGATCAATATAAAAGTCTAATTAGTCATAAGTTAATGCATTCTACATCAAAGATTCTGAGATAATGGAGAAGATTTGTAGCTCATGTGGATGATTTTGATGGAGTTTTGTTCTATGAGCTGGATGGTTCGGTCAGATAGAAGTCTATCTGAAGTTTGTGCTGATGATGTCGTTCAGAAGAACGATGGAAACTCCACGACCAAACCATCCAGCTCAGAGAACAAAACTCCATCAACATCAAAGATTTTCCCAATGTACAAACAGTAATTCTGTTCTAATTAAGCAAGTTAATAACTTATAAGTGTATTTTCATTCTGTTTATAAAAACAACTACCATTTAAAAGAAAACAAGTATCATGCAAATCATGTACTTTTACTAAGTTTAACTATCATCACAAATATATAATACAGGGATTTCATGCTAAACTATTGAAATTAACTTCTTCTATTAATAATGAAGCATTCACAATTAGTGATGACTACCTGACCTTTTACGATATTCAAAGTTTCAACTAATTCCTTTTTCCCTGTTGCTGTTACCATGGTTACGCAACATCATGTCCATATTCTGTAATATCTTCTTTATCTAAATAGATTGAATATTTACTAAAAAAAATTAGTTTTTTTTAAATTTGTAAATGATTACATAATCTTACTTTTCTAAATATTCAACAATTTGTTCATGACCAAATTGTTTCGCATTAGTTAATGGTGTATTTCCCCAACGATCAATTGAATTAAGTGTTACACCACAAACTTCAATAAAAAATTTGACAGCATCTAATGAACCACAACTAGCAGCTACATGTAAACCAGTACGTCCATCATAATCAATTGAATTAAATCTACTCCATGAATAAAACATCTAAAAAATTAAAAAAAAAGTGTTTAAAATAAGAAATAATATTGTATAATAATTAGTTATTTTAGAAACTTTATATTCGGTCGTCACTGATTGCTATGCCGGAAAAAACGCTGATCACTTATACTCGAAACGAAGGACCTCTGCAATTCCCACGACGAGAAAGTAAGAACACAAAGACTGGTATAAGTAATGATTTATTAACCCCAAAACACGACGACGAAGACGACAGCTCTAGTAGAAAATACACTGATTTATATACTGATTGTCCACCCATTTTGATGAATAATTAAGATGAAATCACATAATGAGCATAGTTCATGTACATTGAATACAAGAATATCGTATATTATACAGAATAAAATATCATACGAGAAAAGAAAACAAATACTACATTGAGTAATCATTACATTGAATCAAAAACGGAAGTAACGTTGAACCAAAACTCATAATGAGTAAATCAATCGAAAATTGACTTTTCTTTCCATTATATCACAATTGTTTTCAATAACTTCATCATCAAGCTCTACAGTTATAATTTCAACAGTTCAGATCATAAGTCAATTGGAGCTAGACCACTATGGAAAATCTTGAAGCACTCGACGATCATTTTGTCCTATTATAGGACTCCTTAGCAATGTGCATCCACAATTCCGCCTCACAAGATTTGAACTCAGAACCTATCGGTCTCGCGCACAAACGCTTAGCCTCTAGACCATTGAGTCGGCTGGCATCCAATAATGTTAATGTCTAATTTCAATCCCTTCCGATTCTACAGTTATAAGTCCATAATTATTGTGGTATTTTTACAAAGGTGAACATTTTCATCTGTTACGATATATATATATATATACTTTAGAATTGTATTATTTACAAATTAGAAAGGTCATTGAATAAAGGCCATTGAATAATTTAAAGTGTTCAATCACGATCAGTAGAATAGTATTATAGCAAAAATGAAAATGCAAAAAAAAATTGTTTAAATAAAATCCATAGTAGTAGAATTTCATCTATTCAATCATCAAAAGCGGTCATAAAAGGAACCCCCTTTTTAAAATGCCTCTCACTACAGACACTACTTATCTGTTATTGATCGACAATTCATTTTTTTTATATTACATTAATAACTGAAAATAATTAATTATATTAGCCTAGTCAGTCAGCTACAACGTAGAAACAGGCACATATATGCATCGGTCCAAGTTACCATACCTCATTAACACAACAAGATGGACACCGGATTCATGGAAGTAGTTCATTCAGTGGTGGTAATTTATAAAAGATTGCATATCAGGACATAGTACAGGAAGAAAGAATTAGTTCGTAGAAAGAAAGATATGAAGCGATTTTAATCCCATAGTTTAAAGGAAGACAGAGATTGTATACACCGATGCAGTTATGATCGATTCTGAACCATGTCACCAAGAGTCTCCAACCATTGATTACGATAGTCACGCGGACCCCAACCAAGTAGTCTGCATTTGCCAACATGGCTCAGACTAGAAGTTAGTGACTTTGTGAACTGATGCCACGTTTTGGTTTGACCGCCCCTAACTTCCTTCCAACCACTTTCAACACCGGTTAGCATTGTGCGTCGTGGTAATCGGTGTTCAGGCAACACGTGACACAACCATCTCAGTCGATGAAAATTCACAACCTCACCAACTAATTTACCATCATTCCCTAATACCCACTTTTTTATATTAGTCCATATGTAATTAAAAACAAAGAAACGTAACAAGACGAATGAATTAATTGTGTTCTGTAAGTATCGTCATTCTCATTTTATTTGAATTTGTAAAGAGAACCAGTTGACTGAAATAACATTGGTAACAGAACTAAGATTATAAAACAGGGGACCAAAATAATCAAAAACTAAAGACCTAATTAATAATGACATCAGGGTTCTTCTTCATTCGTTTAATTTTAAAATCTTTATTGACCAATTAATCATTTCAGATCGGCTTGAATTTACGGATTACATAATCATTAATCAATTGAGACCTTAGTGACTAACTATTGTTAGAGTTCAGTATTAATAATAAACTTGACAATATTATTAGTGAAAGTAATACTAGTTTTTATGACTGTAAAATAGATTAGGTATTGAGTATATGACGTTAAATTAAGACTACCATGTAAGTAGTGTTGATGTTAATCGAAAAGCACTAGATAAGGATGATGAATCGCATAATAAGGTAATGAATCCTCATAGAATAAGATCGTCAGCATATGTATTACATATAGCATACTTCAGTGAGCGATGCTTGGGGATGTAGAAGCGGATCAGAAAAAAACTATGGACATCCACATAATGATCTAGTTGAAATCCATAAAACACTGACCACCTGGTTGATATTCACATGATTAGAACAACACATGTAAGTGAACAATATTGTTTTCAATAAAGATCGTCATCAGGCTTTACTCTAATATACATGAATATTTATTATGAAATTGTTAAACCAATCAAGGCAATATGGGTCAATAATCACAATGAATTAGAATAAGTCACTACACATACTAGGTAAAAGTACAAGTTGTTAGTAGGAAGACAGGCGTTCTGATCGTAGTAAGAATAATAAAATAAAATACGATAACAAAGGTCATATCAATAGTTAAACATTAGAAATAGAAGGTCAAACGTGGATAAATAGACTTGGAATAGCCATCACAAAACATTAAAACCATTACGTAATAAGAAGTGTGTACATATATTAAATAGTGAAGAATACAAACGGAAAGAAGCGAAAAATTACAAACGAATACAGGAATATGAAAATAATGATAATGATAACAAAAATAAAATTGAAAAAAGTCGTTTCTTAAGTGATAACTGGCCACAGAAGGGATAAGGGGCTGCGAATTACTTCTGTACACATAAATCGGGTTTAAGTGTAAGAATTCCTATGGCTTCAGCTATATGTAGGAGAACTCCATTGTAAAATGATGGAGGTATATGATAGATCACTCGAAACGATTCCGATTTATCTACAGTATGATCGATATCAATAAGATGTACCAAGATAGAACTGTGTATTGTTTTCATTTGGTCCTTTATATACCAAGCTGGTAGATATTCACTCATTCGTTAGTTAAGCTGTATATTAGAATAAAGCCTGATGACGATCTAATTGAAAATAATTGTTCGCTTACATGTGTTGTTCTAATTTTTACAATGGGAATCTTTAATATTCACTATTGCAGATGCATTCACACTTTATGTTTCTTTATATCTTCAAATTTTGAACTTACTTCATAAATATTACTCAATAGATTAAAGTTGTTCTTCTTTAATCGCATTATCTATGCTTAGTTTTTCAACTAAGTCTAGAACTGTCAATAATTCTGATACCCTATCACTTTTCTTGATAATTTATTCACAATCTTGCACGTTACCTATGAATGATTGTCCGATACTTATATAGTTAGAAAGAAATGAATATACAGTAATTTATCTTTATATAATATTATAGCCCGAAGACGCCAATCAGAAGCAGTGAATTATCGATCGGAACAATGACGTATAAACCCGTATGAGCAGCCTAGAGTTCTGATTGGTCCTGCTTTCCGCCTAGCTCAGTCAGTTAAGTCCAGAACACCAGTCTCAGTCTCTGCAATATGAATCCTTATATTTCAAACGTACTGAGTTTCTATACCAATCAAACAGACCACAACGTACGAATAAAATGTGAAACAACATCTGTGCAAGAATTTGCCAGATGTGGATGTGAATGTGGGAGATAGTAATTAATGAACTGGGTATAACTCAAGAATGGTAAAACATATAATAATAGTTTATGGGTCAAAATAAAGCTTATAATAAGAGGAATATTAATATGCATAGTTTAGTTACTTAGTAATTATGCAATAGAAATATATGTTCAGTATTGGTCTATCAGTAGATCCCAAAGTTACCATTCATTATGTTTATCAGGACCTAACATATAATAATCATATACTCATACAAAGAAATAATTAAGAAAAGGTATTTTAACCATCTGTATGTAGAACCTGAATTGACTATTGTATATTTTTCTTTTAATACCATTATACTACTTATTTATTATTACAGTAAACACCTGTTAATGTTGTTAGAAGTAAATTGAATATTCCTCATGTAACTCGAAAATGATACATTCATTTTTCAATTCTAAATAATACACTTGTGCAATAAATAACAAGGTATTACCTTATTGTTTAGTAATAAGCTCAAAGGATATATGTTCAATAGAAGTTAAATAACATAATTCATCATATCGAATACATATATAAGTTAATTAAAACAGTTAGTATTTAAATAGTTGTGATCATGAGTCAAATGAAGCTAGACAACCATGGGAAATCTGGAAGCACTGGACGACCGTTTCGTCCTAATATGGGATTCCTCAGAAGTGCTCACCTACGATCCAGCCCCCCGCGAGATCCGAACCCAGGACCTACCAACGTCGCGCGCGAGCGCCTAACCGCTAGACCACTTGTATCTTCCCACTATTGTTCACGACTGTAATTGATCACTCCCTTATTAGCATACATACATGCTGTGCGAACTATCTCGATATTGTTTTAAGTTGTAAGCATTATAAGCAGAGATGGATGATGAATAGCAGTGGAATCCATGACGCGCGTTTCATCCTAATTTAGACTTCATCAACTGGATATACCTGTACCATACAGTTGACGTTCACTCCAAGATTCGAACCTAGTACCGTTCGCTTCGAACGCCATCACTTTACCCACTTAGCTAATGACTTCTGATAACCACTTGATTATTCAATAAGGTAATGTTTAAATTCACCTTATATTGTTTGCTTCTCTCTTCCCATTATGTAATTGATCAGTCTGTTATTGACATATGTACATCCTATGCATATTGTCTCGATATTGTCTTAAGGATTAATAATATTGAAGTTTTTACATAGAAAACTATTGTTCTTTATAAAACTTCCTGTTACCTTCATTTTAATTTACTTCAGATATACATTTTAAAAAGAAATTAATGTGAATATTCTATTGTCAATTTTCTGTGTGACCTGATATCTGTTTACTACTTTGAAGAAAATTCGTTTGAATAACAATAGGATTATTCGTGTATCAATTTTTAAATTATCTACAAGGTCACTTAGAATATACAAATGAATCATTTCTGTTAAGTTGATTGAAACAATTAGGTGTTTATATGATTTATTCTTCTAGTCAAATGATTATGAAATAATAAATATACAATGACTATCCAGTGACCTTCTTGAATATCTGAGCTATCTGTTCCTGTCATCTAGAAATTGAAACAAGTTATCTGTTTTTTCAATGGTTGAGATCATGAGTCAATTGAAGTTAGACTACTATGGAAAACCTGGAAGCACTGGATGGCTGTTTCGTCGTATTGTGGGACTCATCATCAGTGCGTATCCAAAATCCCGCCTCGTGAGATTCCAACCCAGGATCTATCGGTTTCGCGCGCGAATGCTTAACCACTAGACCACTGAGCCGACAGGTGTCCAACGGTGCTTATGACTAGCTTCAACTAATACATAAAATTGAGCGATACAACCACCATGTCATCGGCGAGTTACTATCTGATGTGAACAAAGAAACAAGAAGCCTTGACAAACTACCGAAGTTATTTTTCGGGACGTTATTTTAGTTAATTCAAAGCTTGTAAAACATTAATATTTATTTTTGTCCCTAGTCTATTCTACAGAACATGAGCTTTCTTTTGATGTGTGATTCACTGCCATAGCCCTTTTTGTTCAAAAGCTATTGTAATTTAAAAGTATTACTTTGTACTCTATTTTCTACGTTAATCTCCCGTTTTGGACATAATTGTATTTTCTAATTATTGTATGTTGTAGTCGGGTTAGTCATCTATTTATCCATGTATGTTTTTACACTGATCTGAAACCGAGAACCAGGTCGGAAACGGGAATGAATCGAGTGGTGTTCAAGTTGACTTGTCTTCTCTCACTCGCGTGCTTGTCAGCCAATCAGGTGATAGAATAGTTCTCTCGACTCCACTTCGAACTCACGCGTACTAGCCTCAAGGTTAAGCCCATCAGCTTATCGCGTCAACGTCTTAATCTAGATTAGACAAGTTACCCTCAGCTCTAAAAGTGGGTAAACATATACGGGACGTAACACTATCTCACAACAGACCCGGCTGAACTCCACTAGTCACCGTTTCTCACGAGAACCCCAGGTTATACCTCTTGAAGCCAGTCACTAGTGAGCATATGTTGGTTAATATGAAAACGGGTTTTGTGGAGATTGTAGTAATTTCAATAGTTAAGATCATGAGTCCATTGCTTCCACGTTTTCCATGGTAATATAGCCTTAATTGACTCTTGATCTCAACCATTGAAATTACCATAATATCCACAAAAACCCTTCTGATATGAATTATCTGTTTTTGTTTGTTTGTTTTTACATATCATTATTGTCTATTATTTGCATAATCTATTCAGGTGCGTTTATTAAATGTTTACGATCTTTTGCTGTACAAGTTACAAACGAGCCCAATCAGAGACATTGTGGTTGCTGGCAATATACATCGAAAAGAACGAAGATTAATCAGATGTCGATCCCTGAACTACTAACATTTAACTGGCGATCACTCAATACTTATCTTCAGGATGGATCAAGAAATAAAAAAGGAAACTTATTGAAATACTTTGTGCTGAGAATTCTATATTGTACCAAGACAATAATGAAGCCAATAGTAGTAATAGTTGTAGTAGCAGTAATAATAAAAGTCTTTTTCTAAAAAGATACTTCTAATAAAACAGAAATAAGGTTTAACAGTCAATAAACCTTAAATATATATTTAAGAAGGTCTGAGATTCGAACTCATGATGCTGAATACCACACTGAAAAATAGTTCCATTAGGTTTTATGGATGGATGTTCTTTTTTTGAAAAAAACCCAGCTACAATCAAATATAGATTCTTGAGGTACGAACAGTCAGCTTTAGCTACGTAACATTCAAAAGTATTTAATCTTGAACTTGAGCTATTTACTTTACAACACCAATTCTAAATTTCTCACTGGAAACTTGATCATCAATGAGGGCATTAGTTTATATTGCATAATGTCCTTCAAATCCATCAACGAAACAGTACACGTATCTATAAACAATTGTCTACACAAGATACCTGACGTCAGTTGATTGGATACCATCGGCAACAGACTACGGTGGGAGAGAAAAAAACAACTTTCAGCTGAAGAGGAAATTAGGAAAAGTCGTTGGATGTGGATAGGACATACATTACAGAAATCATCAAACTGCACCACGAAGTAAGCCCTAACTTGGAATTCTGAATGGAAGCGGAAGAAGGAAGTCCAAAGAATATACTGTATCGGAAATTCCAAGCAAACGTGAAAAGAATGAATAGCAACTAGAAACAAGTGGAAACGATTGTCCAGGACAGAGTTGGATAAGAAATGCTGGTGGGTAACCTATGATTCGACACAAGGGGTAACAAGTGTAATTCAGTAAGTAGAGTAATTTCCTTCAAATAAGATCAGTCAGTAATATGATGAAAAGTATTTTAATTTTTCTGATCGTTTCATTTTATTCTCTTTAAAAACTCCCAATGAGTGGGGGGTCGGGAAAAATGTTTCAATTCTATAAAACACATATACTTTATAATCATTTAGATTACAACATACTAAAGACCTAATAATATGAATATGTAGATTAAGTACTTTACATTTTATATTCTAATCTAATAATTCAAAGAATAGTCAACTTCTATGATTATAAAAAATTGAAAATTCCACTAAGATATAAAATTATTTCCTTAATAATATTAATATTAACAGTTGTCTACGCAAAATAATTCGGATCCGTTGGCCGGACATTATTAGCAACAACCAACTGTGGGAAAGAACAAACCAGATCCCAAAGGAGGAAGAAATTAGGAAGAAGCGCTGGAAGTGGATAGAACACACATTGAGGAAAGCACCCAACTGCATCACAAGACAAGCCCTCACATGGAATCCTCAAGGCCAAAGGAGAAGAGGAAGACCAAAGAACACAATACACCGAGAAATGGAGACAGACATAAGAAAAATGAACAAGAATTGGATGGAATTAGAAAAGAAGGCCAAGGACAGAGTGGGTTGGAGAATGTTGGTCGGCAGCCTATGTTCCATTGGGAGTAACAGGCGTAAGGAAGTAATATATTACATAATCAAAAAATGATTTAATTAAATGACTGATCGGTAGCTTTTTGATCATTTAGTAAAAAATAAAACAACTAAACAGTTGGAGACGAAAAATTAATAAAGATATTTACATAAGATTTGTAATTGAAAAACTCAGTTTAGTTTCATTTAAACAATGTTAAAAAAGAATTTTGTGGATAAACATTTTCATCAATATCAGTATACGGATTGTGGAGATCATTAAGCTTTTTTTACTGAGATCATGAACCGACTGATGTTAGACCACCATTGAAAACCTGAAAGCACTAGACGGTCGTCTTGTCCTATTGTGGGACTCCTCAGCAATGAGCATCCACGATCCTGCCTTGCAAGATTCGAATCCATGACCTATCGGTCTCTCGTGCAAACGCCTTACCTCTAGACCACTGAGACGGCCGGTATCCAACAGTCTTAATGTCTAACTTCAACTAATCCACGAAATTGAGCGACACATTCAACATTGTCTTCAGTGCATTATTATCTCACAACAGACCAGGTTGAACTCTACTGATCATTTTGTTTTTATTTGGAGCATAGTCAATTACACTTGAACAATGATAATCATTTTGCTTAAATTTACATTAATTCATGAAAATGATCTTAGTTTTAATTTGTTTTAACTCATTAATTATTGTTTTTCTGGAAATCGATTGTACTTATGTGTTATATAACAATGATTTACAATTTATAATTAATTGAAACTATTAGGGAACTTATGAATTAGCATAAAATCGATTTGTAGATTTTTCCCTTTTTTCCCCTAACTGTCATTTGAAGAAACAAGAAGTGATTGTAATACGGTTTCTTTTTGTTCATCATGTATATGAGAGAATGAATAGAGAGATATCATGCAAGCAAGATAGGTTGGAAATATATAAAGATAAATATGATTACGCAAAAGAATTTTAATAGCGTGGACAAGACAACACTATGGCTTCTTCAACAATACGGTGTGCCTGAGAAGACAGTCAATATCATGTGGAATTCTTATGATGGATTAAATTGTAAAATCGTGCATGGAAGACAGCTGACAAACTCGTTCGAGGTGAAGACTTTTTCTCCTGGCGATCGACTGGATCATGAAGACGTCAACATCTAGTAAGAAGCATGGGATACAGTAAATAGATAGGATGCAGATGGACGATCTACACTTCGTAGATAATATGACTCTTCTATCGCACACGCAACAACAAATGCAGGAGTAAACGACCAGTGTAACAACAGTCTCAGCAGCAGTACGTCTCAACATACACAAACGGAGAGGCAAGATTCTTCTATACAACTTAACATGCAACAATCAAATCACAATTGACAGAAAAACTTTCGAAGATGTTAAAACCTTTACATATTTGGACAGCATCATTGATAAAAACGGTGTGTCTGATGAAGATGTGAAGGTATGGATCGGAAAAGCAAGAGTAGCATATTTACAACTGAAGGACATCTCGAACTCAAAACAACTGTCTGTCAACCAACACCAAAGTTAGAATTTTCAATACAAATGTCAAGACAGTTCTACTGAATGGGATGGAAACTTGGAGAACTACGAAAGCCATCATCTAGAAGATACAAGTGTATATTAACAGTTGCCTACGTGAAATACTTCGGATCCATTGGCCAGACACTATCAACAACAACCTACTGTGTGAGAGAACAAATCAGATTCCAGCGGAGGAAGAAATCAGGAAGAAGCTTCATAGTTTATTAACGAATAACATAAATAGCAAAGTTACAAGCACATCGAGCGAATTCAGAGCAGAGAGACTAATGTGTGCGAGTGTTCTAGTGAATATATAGACAAATTTATAGTCAAATCGAATCAAGACGCAACGAGTCAAAGCAATTAATAAGATTCAAGCGTACACATTTACAAAAAATAGCCAAATTGTTACTGTTTGAATAACACTAACTGTTAAATAAGTTAACCATAAACAAAATTGATTGTAAGAGATTTACCATACGGGAATACAAATCATCAAATTGTTTAGTCATTGGGTTCTTAATATTTCTACTTGTTATATGAGGCAAATATCTTTTTGATAGACGTTTGTGTTGATTATGTCTTTCAGAAGAACAATAAAAGCTCCACAACCAAACAATCCAGCTTAGAGAATAAAACTTCAGCAAATATATTTTATTCAATCATGTATTATGTTATAACTGAACACTATTGAAGAGTTTCGAACTAGTCAGGAACAGTTGTTCAGTGTTTTCTAACTTTCATGTCAATTCTAGTTGATACCACTTGTTACAAATAATCCTAAGATCAGTGATTAGGTAAGCCGTGACGACAATTAGAACTATACAAACAACGTCTATAGATTATAGTCAAACATTAATCGAATTTCAGGTTAATAGAACAACCTGTTTGGCAGTCGGATAGAAACTCTAATATCTCATTTTTTTGTCAAACATTCCGAAAATATTTTCTACAAAGACAAGGAAAACCTTACTTCGAGACCACTGAATATCACATCTCTAAACAAACAATACAGATTTTTAAACAAAAATGGATTGTGGTTAGCAGTAAAACCCAGGACGCGCATTTCGTCCAATTTGGAACTCAGTTGGTGTTAACTCTGTGACTCGAATCCAGTACCGTTCACTTCAAACACCATCGCGTTACCCCGGAGTGAACACCAACTCTGAGATGCAGGTACATCCAGCTGACGAGTCCCAAATAGGACGAAACGCGAATCCTGGATTCCACTGCTAGCCACTATCCATTTTTGCTTAAGAATCTTGTGACTTAAGATAATATCGAGTCGATCCGCACAGTATGCACAAGAGACTGATCAATTGCAGTCCTAAATAACAATGGGAAGATACAAGTAAAACAACACCAAGTGAATTTAAATAATACAGATATCTTGTAATGATCAGAGACCTGAAACCTAGACTGAAGTGACTTTCATTGCAGAAACATATAAGAATTCTAGAGCTATTCCAACATGATTTTTACAGATATATACAAAAATAAAATACTTCATTTCATTACATCTTACTTGATTAATTATACATTAATATAAACATTCTGCATAATTAAACAGTCAAAAACAATAAACATACATTCCAAGTCCAAGAATATAAAGGAATTTATGACGAGACTATAATTTCTGAACGAACCAATCAGGTATAAGGTAACAGGTCTCGGATTTTGGCGTGAAATTTACCCACCCTATTGAGAAAATAGAGTTTTGGTATTATAGTTGATGTCAGTTTGTAATGAAAACATTAAATCTAATTCCTAACTCTGACCATCATTTGTAAATCATAATCCCTATTGTTCAAACTGCTTTACAACCTTCGTTTGGTCCTAGTTATTAGGTGGACACTCTCAAGATCACTTCAGCGTCGCTCAAAGGTCGTCCATAAATTATAACCTCACTGAATTTATATTACAAGCTATTTCCCTTTCAATGTATATTAATCAAGTTATATAGCATTCAAGTTGTCATTATATAAAGTGTTAAAATTGATTAAAATACCTTACTTAGATCAAAATCCATTAGTGAAAAGTTGATATACAGCATAATTTGATAAACCGTTGTATATAAGAAAAGAGGATAGGTATTATAAGATAAAGCGGCTTATAAAAAAGTCTTTATTTTCTCTGACACTGATTTTCTAATGGTATGACGGAACAAAGTAGGATTTTTTTTATTTGACATTCCTGGAGTTCTAGCTGGAGCGTTGAACACTGACGTTAAAATAAGACAGAAGCAAAACAATTATCACTAATTTCATTAAATTATTGCTGAGCTGTATTGTAAACTTAATAAATTTAAGTTTATATAATTGAATGCCAACTCAGTGATTTTAATGATGAATTATTCCTTTCGAGAACTGAAGGTTCTAGGTTCGATCTCCATCACAAATTCATAGATGCTCACTACTGAGGAATTCCAATACCTTTTGATTGTTAATGGTCCCCCTATTGAGATCATTGCATGAAGAATGAAATCTATAAATATTCTTGTCAATTAATTTTATTTGGTTCATAAATCATAGATCATGTTTGATCCCACTATAATTCACCATTTTAATTCTCACATTAAAAATTGATAAACATGAAGTTAAAACTTTTTACTAGTAAACCTCTTCTTTAATGGTTAGAAAACAGTTCAGTGATATTATTCTTTCATTTTTGTACCATTTTTTTTTAAAAAAAAACGCATATACGCAACAGTTTTTCTATAATTGATAAATAATTAAAAGAAAAAACAAATGGTTAACTGCTCGCGCACAAAACCAGTAGGTCCTGGGTTCGAATCTCGCAGGGGGCGAGGTCGTGGATGCGCACTGTTGAGGAGTCCCATACCAGGATGAAACGGCCATCCAGTGCTTCCAGGTTTTTCATGGTGGTCTAGCTTTAATTGACTCGTGATTTCAACCAGTGAAATGAAAAATTCTTAATTATCTTACCTTCTCAAAGTTGATAAATCATTATTACTAGCAGCAAATAATAATGTAGTAACTGCATCTGTTCGATAAGAATCACGTGGTTTCCGTGGATCAATTTTTTTATCATAATGTAAATGACTTTCATAATGATGAAGGATAAATCTATGAACAAGTTCCTAATTGTATGAAAAGTGTTTCCAGGATGATCATAAACATGTAAAACAAAAAAAAGAGAGAGAGAGAAAGTGAAAAACAATCAATTACTATTATAGTGAGCAGAACACCAGTGGGGACAACCGAATTATATATTTAGCACAAAATTACAGAGTTACTTGGTGAAATAGAAAAAAAAACCATACTATAATACTTAATTTGCAAAATGTTCAATAATTGTCTCGAACTTCGTTGTTCTTGCATTTCCACACTGATTGCTTTCTATTCCCGTTCTTAATTTCTTGATCTTCTCCATCTTCTGCCGCCAGACATTACATTCCTGACCCGCGTCATATACTACTTATATCAATATAAGTAGCACGCACCACATAATGATATAGTTGCTTCATATTTTTGACATTATGAAAATTTATGATTGATAGGCAATCAAATTATACTGTTTTGTAAATCCTCTGCTAAGTGGGTTTACACTCGACATGTGGCCCAATGCAGAAAAATATTCAGACGTAAAAATAACATCATTTATTTATTTATTAATATAGTTGGGTGTAAGCCATACTTTTCATATGATATGACATGACTAAGTTATTGTATTTAATGTTACAGTTCTATGGAATAATATGTACTTCGATTGTGCAGTGTCAGTTACATTATTAAGCTCATATAACTTATTCTAGCTTCTGAAGAAGCCAATCTATTCATTCTTTTTAAGTTACATTTTGACCTTGTTAATTATTCACTCAATAACCATGACTGTTTTTATGTAAGCGTATGTGTATGCATTTCTTATCTTACTCATCAAATGCCTGTAACTTATTTTCTTTTGGCTATAAATATAAATTCATGCTTGATTAAATCGAGTTGGCTCATATGCCTTCTCCAATGGGCGTCATTTCGCTTCACTCATACTTCTTTGTTTCATCTCCCTGATTACCTTTTCAAATCAATGTGTGCATGAAGTATACATATTCGAAATCCATTTGTGTATTTGCCTTATTTAATTCCGCTATTAATCAACGTGAGTTAAATCAATCATAATATAAGAGGATAGCCGACATTCATACGATCCAGTTACAGTCAGATATCGGGTCACTAAAATTTATCTCTAATATAAATCATATGTCAAATTATTTATTTATTTATTTAAACACATAAACATAGGTACAAGAAGGCACCAAATAGATTTGCGCCCCACAAATCATTCGATTTGTGTGATGGTTAGGATACAACCCGTGTTCCCAAACCGAAGCGGGTGGTTTTCTTAGAGGGCCACAGCTGGAGCCTTTGACCTAAAGGTCTGATTCACAAGGCAGTGGAACAACATAAAGAGATTCAGTCCCATGGCAGCCGGTGACCCACAATTGGTTCATACAACACTTGTTTCCTTAGGATCCTGGAGCTCATGTGCACCATTGATTTGGAATCAGGGTTTTCCAAATCCCCTAGGTGAACATTTCGTATCCACCCACCCAGTTAAAGCGCCGGACATTCGATTTTCGTCCTTTCACTTTCGTAAACAATGGTAATGCCACGAGAAGGCAGTTACTAGGACTTCCCCGGAAGTGATTATATGCACGTGGCCATGTGAAAGCATTTCGAGAGGGAGAGCTGACACTCCCCACTCTTGACCGTTCCAAAGCATTAGGGGGTATGCATCAAAGAGATATAATCGAAATCTTTTATTATTAAAAAAACTACCAAATGAACTAATGAGTTAATGAACTCTACTTATAGAATTAATCCAATTAACGTAATTATAAAGTGTTTAGACGAATCTCATAGAAACTGTGTATATTTCCAGTCATCTTAAACATTAATTAAGTCATGAAAATCTTCCAGAAGACAAGACCTCCTATATAATTGAATTAAATAAAATAATTCACTGATAGACTGAATGTTAAAAACAAATAATTAAATTTATTTAAAAAGTTAATGAAGTGAAAACTAAATAAATCAAAATAAACAAAATATGAAATCAGAATATCAATGGTTGAGATCATGGGTCGATTGAAGCTAGATCACCATGGAAAACATGGAGGAACTAGACGGCCGTCTCGCACTATTGTGGGACTCCTCAGCAGTGCGCATCCACGACCTCACCACGCGGGATCCGAACCCAGAACTTATCAGTCTCGCACGCGAGCGCCTAATCACTAAACCACTGATTGCTATCTGAATAGCTCAATAGCAAATTCGTAAATTATGGAGGTAAATAATAAAGATTTATATTCTAATGAAAGCATCAGTTTTTCAAAATAATGAAAACTAGCTAACCTGGAAACTAAATATAAGGTTTCCTTCCTACTACTTCCAACCTCATAACAGCTGGTAATTATAATATTTGGAATAACTACATACTCACGTACTTACCTAATTAATTACGCCTGTTATTCCTAATGGAGCATAGGCAGCCGACCAAAATTCTCCAACCCACCCTGTCCTGGGCCTTCCTTTCCCGTTCTACCCCATTTTTGTTCATTTTTCTCATATATGTCTACATTTTTCGGCGTAATGTGTTCCTTCGTCTTCCTCTTCTCCTTTGGCCTTGAAGATTCTAGGTGACGGCTTGCCTTGTGACGCAGTCGAGTGCTTTCCTCAATGTGTGTCCTATCCACTTCCAGCGCTTCTTCCTAAATTCTTCCTCCGCTGGGATCTGACCAACGAATAAGAATTATTTCGCGTAGACAACTGTTAATAAACACCTCTATCTTCTGGATGATGGCTTTCGTAGTTCTCCAACTTTCCATCCCACACAATAAAACTGTCTTGGCATTTGCATTTCAAATTCTGACCATGGTATTGGTTGACAGACAGTTGTTTTGAGTTCAAGATGTTCTTCAGTTGTAGATATGCTGATCCACACCTTCATATTTGCATCAGATCCACCGTGTTCATCAGTGATGCTGTCCTGATATGTAAAGGTTTTTACATCCTCAAAAACCTCTCCGTGAAGTGTGATTTGATTGTTGCATGTTGTGTTGTATAGGAGAATCTTGCCTTTCCGTTTGTGTATGTTGAGACGTACTGCTGCTGAGACTGCTGTTACACTGATCGTTTACTCCTGCATTTGTTGTTATGTGTGTGATAGAAGAATCATATCATCTACGAATTGTAGATCGTCCATCTGCATCCTATCTATTTACTGTATCCCATGCTTCTTCTCAGATGTTGACGTCTTCAGTTGATTCATCAGGAGACTGGATTATTTCTACTCTTACTACTATTGATGTATTTGGAAAATTACATCATTTAATTTCATGAAAGCTAATTATATCTATGTAATATTTTAATTTACTTTACTAAAGAATGACTTGTTAACAGTTTTACAATTAAGTTTGGAACATGATAACAATCTTTACTAGAAATTATTTTCAATTTTGAGAATGTTTAATTTTTATTCAGATACCGAAACTAATCTCTTTCAGTGTTATTTATTTTAAGCTAATTAGACAACAAATTAACTCCAATAGTTCCAATTCTGTTTACTAATATATCAATGGATGAAGATCAATTGTATACTTGTAGCTTTTAAACATTGAGAAAATACGATTGAATGATTATTAAATGAAAGCTACAGTAATCAGGTTTTATAAGTATTTAAATATACTTTCAGTTTTGCTAGTTCACTTTAACATTCATTCTGAACAAACTTCGTTTTAATATATAGTGCATTTGGAAATCCATCTTTTAAAGGAAGACAGAGATGTTTCAGGATGTTACCATACACAGAATACTCTAAAATATCAATTAGATGTTTTCATGAATTTAGTTCGTCCGCCACATCATTCATCAGTTATGTTAACAGTATTGATGAGACTATAATTTATGGATGACATTTGAACGACGCCGGACTGACCTTGAGAGTCTCTACCTAATGGTGCACATGGGCTCCAGTAACCTGCGGGAACAAATGGCGTATGAACCAATTATTGGCCACCGGCTTCCATGGGACTGCATCTCCTTATGATGCTCCACTGCCTTGTGGATCAGACCTTCAGGTCGAAGGCTCGGGGAGTGGCCCCCTAAGAAAACCACCTGTTTCGGTTTGGGCACCCGGGAAGTATCACAGCACTCACACATATCGAATGAGATTTGTGTGGCGCATATGTGTTTGGTGCCTCCTTGTACCGATATCTACTAGGGCTAAATGAGGGTTATAAAGCAGTTTGAACTATAACGATTATGACTTACAGTTGATGCTTAAAGTTAGGAATTAGACTGAGCGTTTTCATTACGAAACGACATCACCTAAAATGCCAAGATGCTATTTTTCCAAATGGATGGTTGAATTTCACGCCAAAACCTAAAACCTGTTATCTTATACCTGATTGGTTCATCCATAAATTATAGTCTCACCGTCTATAACATATATTATTCAATACTTGAAACTGATTCGTACAACGCTTTCTTCAATTTCACCATAAAGGAAATGACATAACCTATTCATAGAGTAGGTTTTTCAGAGAAGAAATTAGTTGTTTTTTTTAAATGGTTGGGAAAATAACTAAAAGTACACTTAAAGCAAAATGTAAACAAAAACAATGAAAATTCAAATGAGGAAACTTAGCAACAATCAGTCTGAATCTTTCGATCACTATAAATTCATAAAGCACATAACGAATGGTATATATATGTATATATATATATATCTGATGAAAATAGACTGATTGGCAGAAACTTTGAAGTTTCTCAAGATGATCAATGAAGTTCTACTCATATCAAATTTGATAAAATAATAACATAGAAAACTTTGTGAAGATTATCTAGTTTATAGTTTCTATAAATAGACTGACTTTAACTTAAGAACTGATGAAAAAATGGGATTGATTGGCTAGGTGTTTCATACTAATATACAATTCAATAGAGCACAATTATGACTTCATATGAGATCGAAACTAAGATTTTCAAATATCAGAGATGACAATGGACAATGATCGTGGATCTTGATAACGTTATTAAAAGCTTTTGTGCTTGAACCTCTTGAATTCGATATGCTACTACTGAGTATAAGCCATTATGAAGCCCTATACTAAAATGAAATGGATGATTTCCAATATATATCCGCGGTATATATCACAAATTTGCCAAAGTTCTATTTATCAAACGCAAAGAACCAATGTAGTTTTTTTTTTAATTTTTCATCCTCTTCAAACAAGACTTCAGTCTGATTTCATCATCACTTCTGACTTTTTAAAAGTTATAGTGATGATTAAGTGAAACTATAATTTATGGATGACTTTTGAAAGACGCTAGACTGACCTCGAGGGTCTCTATCTACTTACTAGGGCTAAATCAGGGTTATAAAAGAATTTGAACAATAACGATTATGATTTACAGTTGATGGTTAGAGTTAGGAATTAGATCGAATGTTTTCATTACGAATTGACATCGACTATAATATTAGGACTCTATTTAACCAAATGGGTAAATGAATTTTGCGCTAAAATCTAAGACCCCGTTATCTTATATCTGATTGGTTCGTTCAGAAATTATAGTCTCCCCGATGATTATTGTATTATACTGGAAGTGAAAGTTAACTTAAAACTTTATTATTATTTTTTTAAATACAAAGACCATTGGGTTTCGAATTCCACATTTATCAATTATTTCAGTGTAAAACTGTGATGTTTGAATGAATTAAGTGATACCTTTGTATTTGTTGAATGCTTGATTTCGAATTCTAAATAGAGTACATTCATTTGTGGTTATCTAGCAGTTCTTGATCCAATTGCGTTACTTCTGGGATTCCTAGTTCATACTATAATTCAAATACTCCTGAATATTGAATTGGGGTCGCTAACCCCATGCCCAACTCTTCTTTATCCGGGCTTGGGACCGGCAGTAGTCCCCTAAGGGACTCCAGGCGGAGGAAGATCAAAGAACACATTACGCCGGGAAATGAAGATAGATATAAGAAAAATGAACAAGAATTGGATTGAACTAGAATAAAAGGCCCAGGACAGAGTGGGTTGGATAATGCTGGTCTATAGCCTATGCTCCATTAGGAGTAACAGGAGTAAGTAACTCGTGAATATTACAAAAACATTGTTCTACCTGAACTAATAAACTTACACTCTAAGATTACAAACTAGTATCTTTACAATGTACTTGTTTACAAAATTTAAAAAAATGGGAAAAATAAATAGTTGTTCTATTCTATACCAGTCAATATGAATTTGCTTTTGTTTATTTATTATACAACTACATTTTGTACAATATGAACTGTCCAAAAATACTGACTAATTTGAACTTTTAACTCAACTATACAAACAAACAATAAAATCAATTTTATCCATAACAATAAAATGAATCAATAATTCATGGAATGTCAAATAAGGTTTCATTGATAATTACAAGAAATAGTAAATCTATTGAAACCATATTAAAAATCGATTTGAAATGTTCTGGAAATTGTGAATTCAGTCAATAGATATACAACTATGGGTAATATGTTATTCCATTTACAAATAATCAATATTTCCAGAATATTAATGGATGTAATATGGTTAAACAAATAAACAGAAGATAGGTCTTTAAACTAATCTAAAATTAGAGAGGGGTTATATGATGATGAAAAAGATTTGTAGCTCAGGTAGATGATTTTGATGGAATTTTTCTCTCTGAGCTGGATGGTTTTGTCGTGGAGGTTTCATCGTTCTTCTGAACGACAGCATCAGCATGAACTTTAGGTAGAAATGAAGTGTTCGAAGAACGATGAAAGCTTCACGATCAAACCATCCAGCTCAGAGAACAAAACTCCATCAAAAAGAGGGGGTTTATGAATATTATAGTAATTTTAATGGTTGAATTCTTGAGTCGATTGAAGTTAGACCACCATGGTAAACCTGGAAGCATTGGATGGCTGTTTCATCCTATTATGAGACTCTTCATCAGACGTTCAATGCTCGCGCGCGAGACTGGTATGTCCTGGATTCGAACCTCGCGAAGCAGGAACGTGGATGAGAAGTGCTGAGGAGTCTCATACTAAGATGGAATGTCCGTTCAGTGCTTCCAGGTTTTCTATGGTGGTCTGGCTTCAATTGACTCATGAATCCAACTATTAAAATTACATATCTAAAATCTTTTAAAAAAATAATATTACCCATTGGGTTCTCAATCATTTAGAGACGAAAGTACTGAAATTATAGGTATAATCTAAATATTCTCAGTCTCATCTGATATATACACTCATGAGTGTACTTTGATGAGAACTTACATACTAATATGAAACAGTTATAATGCGATTATTGTTTTTATAAAAGTTTTCTAACATATTAGTTCACGTTGAAAGGAAGCGTTTAAGAAAACACTGAATAAACTTGAAATATGATAGAATTATCATCATAGTGAAAAAGGAATCTATCAATCTATTTCTACATATAACTCTGGCTTCAAACTGTGGGTAGCTAAGCATTTCATAGAGTAACATAGATCAAGGGTGATAAACTCACTGAATGCTTAACTCTACTTTGTAAATGATCTTGAAAAAAATATGGATAAAACATAATATGCATTGTGTCATAAACGAAGTAATCGAACTCCAATTGTCTCCTCTTAAGTCATACTTTAAGAGGCTCTTACATGTAATAAACCTTCAATCATCAACCTACACAACTAGCGCGAATGGAGTATGTAAACCGATATACTTATACCGGATTATATAATGAAAAGAATAGCATCCTTCGTAATGCTTTGAACTAAAATCATCTTTCAAAGGTATATGTAGAAACTTCTAGAAGTAATTTTCATCTTTTTCTCAGTTTTACTATTTGGTCAGTTGCTCAAATAATAATCCTCCTAATAAGTATAGCGAATAACCGGAATTTCTAAAAAAAAGAACATGAAAATTTAACTAAAACGAAATCAACATTCAATAAGTGAATAGCACTGACTTGACAGAATTGTATACCTCTAGCCGAATTCCCATGTCTATCAATCGGCGGTGACCAGACAGCTAAACCAAGTAAATTAGGCACGACTACCATGATTATACCGGATACACCAGATTTACATGGCAAACCAACCTTTTTAAGTAAATATAAAATGTTTATATATGTATATATGTAAAAGAAACTAATGAATGATTAGAGAAATGTGGTAATCATAAACGATATTGTAAGGTTATGTATTTATGTATATCGTACAAAATGCATCAATATAAACTCGTCAGTATGGAGATTGTGGACCTTTCGTTGAACAACTACCAAAAATCAATAAGTATTGTCTTGCTATGGTGTGGAACTGACGTTTTCATAACATTTTCAGTGACTGAACCAATGTCCTTCAAGTTTTATGATAGTTATCTAAACATCAGCCCCCTTACATTATTAACAATAGTTAATTGAAGCTACAGTCAATCAGTAACTAGATTATAAAATAAGTTTTCAGTGAAAGTATAATTTACGGACAACCTTTGAGCAACGCTAAAGTGATCTTGAGAAAACTCACCAACCTACTAAGGTCTAAAGAGGGTTATAAATTAGTGTGAGAAATCAGAATCGGAATTTAGAGTTAGAAGTTTGGGTTAAGAATTACAGTTAGAGTTTTTGTCATGAACTGACGTCAGCTATAATGCTAAAACGCTATTTAACCATATGGATGAATGAACTTTGTTCCAAAACCCAAGACTTGTTACCTTAAATCTGATTGGTTCGTCCATAAATTATAGTCTCGCCGAATTCTCTTTTTAACAAGATCATTAAAGTCATACTACAGAATAATTTTGTTCTAAGTACATCTTTCATAGATTTCATGATTGATGAATGTTCCTGCGTTTGTCGAATAACCGTCAATGACAGTAATCACTGTTATTCTTGTCTAAGATAACTTAGCTTATTTATAATATAGGGATAAAATGTTCTCTTTAGTTGGAGATTTTTGCACAGACAATTGAATAGTTTCGAAATGTTTTTTTTTCTTTATAAACTGAAACGGTTAAAGAATCCCTGAAGGTTAATAAATGTGATCCAGTATCATTTGCTATCACAAGTTAAATAAAGTATAAAATGTAAGCCATTCGAATGTAACCTATGGATTTTAGAGGAATCATGCTGCTAGAGAAACTTGAAAATCGTGAGTTCAATACTCATATGTAAAGCGTAGATTGTTAAAAAGTCAAAAAGTAATAAAAAATACAGGACAGTATGCTATGTTTGAAGCGATTACCAGTTCACCTAGTCTGAGAATGGAACAAAGACTCTGTGACCAAAGACCAATAAGCTAGCTATTCTGATGCGTCCCAGCTCCTCTAATTAGAAAAAGAAGTCGGAATATATTCCACAAGCAACCAGAAGTACGAGCCATAACAACAGGCACAAATCAAACGTATATATACAGCATAAAACTGTCCTTGAGAAGCGTTACAAAGTAGTATACTAAAAGATACAACGGACCAATTGTATTTAAGATTCTCCCAAGTTGGAAATACGACGTGAAGGTGAAAAGAGCGCGTTTGGCGCGAAAATAAAAATAAGGTATTTATCAAACGAGTTCTGGGGATCTAACATCCTCAACACAATATACGTTCGACCCTTCAATTGGTGTTATTCTATTACAAATAACCAGTTTACTTATAATACAATCAAGTTAATAACAGTGGTGGTCTAGTATCAACGGCTTATGATCTCAATCAAAACCTTAACAATCTCCACAACCCCTAAACTGATAGTTATCATGTGCTCACTAGTGACTAGCTTCGTGAGAAAATTCTCGGAGTTTTGGTGAGAAGCCTCGACCAGTGGAGCTAATCCATGTCGGGTAGAAACAGGTGTCTACCTCAGTAAAATGGGAGATGGTCGCGCAACTTTGTGGATTGGTTGGGGTTAGACATTAACAGCATTGGTGGTCCAGTAGGTTAAGCGTTTGCGCGTGACACTGAGGGCCCTGGGTTAGAATCCCGCGAGCGAGGTCATGGATGCCCACTACTGAGGAGTCCCATAATAGGACTAAACGGCAGTCCAGTGCTTCCACGTTTTAATGGTGGTCTAACATCAATCGGTTCATGATTTTAATAAAAAAATTAACAATATCCATAACCCTTAAACTAACAAAAATAGTTCTTTAAATTAAAAATCTGATTTGCTCCCAGTTTCTCTAATTAAAAATGATAATTATCCCAGTAGATTTAAACTCAAAAGATGATACAACAATTTACCTTAAATGCAAATTGTCCTGAATAATCATACATTCCACATGAATGCATAACAGATAGAGTATCTCGTGCTGCAGCTGCACTTACTACAGTTTCATTTGTTAATGGATTAATACCACCATTTGCTAATGTTCCAGCCATAATACCAGCTGATTCACAAGTGACTTCAATTGAACATATTTGAAAATAAAAATCCATTAATTCACGTAATTCAAAAGTTGGCGGGAAACATTTATTTTCACGCATATAATATGCAATAGCAAAATTACGATCAGCTGTTTCACGTTCTGATAAAAATCTAAAATAATTTAATAAATGAAATAATTAAACAAAAACAGATCATAAATAATACTCAAATTCATATATATGAATGATCCAAAAGTATGAAAATGGTTCAAACAAATAGAATAGATCACCATAGAAAACTTGAAAGCACTGGACGGCTGTTTCATTCTAGAATGGGACGTCTCAGCGAAAGTTGAGTGCTCGAGCGTGAGACTGATAGGTCCTGGGTTCGCGAGATGAGATCGTGGATGCAAACTGTTGAGGAGTCCCATACTAAGATGAAACGTTCGTTCAGTGCTTCCAGGTTTTCTATGGTGGTCTAGCTTCAATTGATTCATGATCTCAACTATGGAGATAGAATGTTGTTTTTTGGAAATTATATCGCATAGGAATTCAAAATGGTTTATAGTATAACAACTGTCCGACAATCAATTTCGATTATGGTCAATTTTGGTTAATCCCATTTTTATTAACTTACTTAACAGATAATGTCATTTGAACAGTAACAATTCGCATATTTCTTTGTACTATTATGATCACTGTCTTCTCTGTATAAACGAGTACTCTTGATCACATGACAACCTACCTACATATCTCTCTCTAGTTTAAAGATGTGACAGCCTTAATATCAATCATTCTCTTTCCCACAAATCCCATTATTAGCCTTTGCTTTGACTAGCTGTATCTTGACTCGATTTGACTATGAATTCGCCTCTCTACTCCAAACGCTCTCGATGGGCTTATAACTTTGTGATCCATGATATCCTCTAATAAACTATAATTGCCACTCCTTATTGCCTTTTGATTTCAAACACCATTGAGGATTTATACAATAACGGTTATCATGGTGATTGATTAATGAAGCTAAACCACTACAATAGAATACATGTGAAATACTCGTGTAAAACTAACCAGTATATAATGTTGACTTGAATATATCTACACGCCAAATAAAATTCTAATTGCCAGGATAAATTAAGAGAACATACAGTGAAAAATAGTAATCATGTAATTACAGATCGAATCAAATGTTTGATCAACGATTATATAATAAAATATAGATTGATTTCAATTCAGTAAAAACTAATAAGGAATAAGGAGTGACAACTAAATTATCCACGTATTTGGAAGCATGTTCAGATTTAATAATCATAATAATATTTGAATAAAGCAAATTTAAATTACGAAAATCCAATGGAAAAGGGTGTCTGCGTTTTTTTCTGGTTAGCGTTTTTTTAGCGAGTTATTTTTCTACGGGATGGGATCGTTAACCTCATGCCAAACCCTTCTCCTTTACCTGGGCTTGGGAGCTATAGTAACTCTAGAAGAGCTACAGATGGAATTTGAAGGGTGTCTGCACATTATTCAAATTCAGTTAACCTCTTATCAAGATGACTATTTATTTATTAGACTGAAACTGACCAAGAAAGAACAGTAATTGAGCGTAATATTCTTATACATAAAACTCCAAGTTCTTCATTGCTAAACAGCTATTACTTATGCTATATAATGGACGTTGAGTCTGAAACACTTTGTTAAACAATAAATAACCTAATAAATTATTGAAAATAACTAATCAGACATGTTACTCTGACACGTTGAAATGGATGGAGTTTTCCAGTTTTGATCATACATGCAAACTGTATCACAGAAGTAAGTGAATAAGTGAATAACAACGATGTTATCAAATTTAAGTAATTTGTCTATTACCTTCAGTGTTACCATCAAAACTGTGGAAAATACTTTCCTGTATTGAACATTTTTCGAAGTGCTTAGAATAATCTATGAATTAAGATTTTTCTATTTTAAGGGCTCTGCGTTTGACTTCATTCAAGAGATCGATACTAAAACAGTAGACTATTAATAATAGCTGATTATTATTAAATTTGATCCCCCCCTCCGTTTACACTAGACAGGCTGAAACCAAGCTGTGAAAGATAAAACATTGAACCAATGATTCTTAATAGCATGTAGATGAGGAAAATGTACTCAATGCTACCCAATAGTAGTACAGTATCATAACCAAAATATTTGATGAAATAATATCAATGTGAAACTACTCTAATGTTAAATTCTATAAATAAGCAATGAGTACAGCTAACAATGCTTAATTCAAATGATAACGTTCAAATATTTTTCCGGACTGTAGGTACAATATACGTTAGCTTTGGTTTGCAACGGTAAAATGATGATAAGCGCTAGTATATGAATGTGACTGAAGCCAAAATCTTTCAAAAACAAACAATCAAGGTTGTGGTTGCAGGTAGTCGATAGGAAACCATAGACTTGGGTTTCATGCTATTTGGTACCTACCACTAAGGTGAAGCTGTAATCTTGAATGAACTAATAATCTTTGGCAGATTCGATCCCGTGCCACCTAACTTAAAGACGTTACCACTGAATTGTTCGGGTCACTACTGACCTATGACAGAACTGAAATATATTTACACCTACTCGATCCTGTCAACTACTATCAACCATCACCTTACTTATCAACCTGGTGTACGCGATGCCGAGTCATTCAAACTAGTGACTGCATTGAAACTTGATCGATAGAATTTGATGAGTACTAAAATGTGTTTCACATACAACATATTGGTCGCTACTAGGTGATCAATTGATTCGTCAATGAAAATGAACAGATTTTCTAATTCAGGTTTTTAGGAAGCGGTGAGATCGGACCATAAAACAGGTAAGGAATTGTATTGATCAGCTCGTTTAGATTGTCTGTCTGATGCCAATGACCTTCGGCTAACCAATGAAATAACAGCCGAGAGTAATAATAAATGATAATTGATCAAGAATACAATATCCCACATTCCTTCATCCAGTAGGCAGAATAAAGAACAACTCAGTAAGCAGATAGCTTATCCAGTTCAAAGTTATGAATATCGAGTAAAACAATGACCTTACATCAAGAGAATTAAGAAGACACAATCTAGACATAAATGAGTCATAAGTGAAACACAATTGAATAATAGGTCTGTGATAAATTAACACTAACTCTAAAAAAGAAAAGCGATGAAGCTATAATTTATTGACGACCTTTGAGCAACGCCAGACTGACCTTCAGGGTCTCTACCTACTTACTAGGGCTAAATGAGGGTTATAAAGCAATTTGAACAATAGCGATTATCTTTCACAGTTGATGGTTAAGGTTAGGAATTAGATTGAGCGTTTTCATCACGAAACGACATCAGCTAAAATGCCAAGACTCTATTTGACCAAATGGACGGTTGAATTTCGCGCCAAAACCCAAAACATCTTATCGTAAATCTGATTGGTTCGTCCATAAATTATAGTCTCGCCCATTATTTATTAATTATCTAATAAGAATATAAATAATAACATGAGATAGGACCGTTCCGAAAGATCACTTTCGCCTCATATTTATCCTGACATATCATCAACTGATCGTAAAGGGAGAATTAAATTAAATAACTTCCACTAAATAACGTTGAAAAAAATATTCAAAACTAGATAATTCTGTGGATAATTATGTAAATTTCATGAACTGTCATCATATGACAGTTTTGTTTCTGTTCCAAATTGTTTGTCAGTGTGAACAACAACAACAATCGATTCACCTCAGTAACTATTCAGCTGTAAAGTTGAAATTCCACTCCTCTGAATATCTACTTTAATACATCTCAGATAACCCATACTATTCATCTATTCTCATCAATGAATTACTGATTGATTTATCCGCAGATTACTTGACTTTTCATTCATCAACATGTCTTGAAGGTTTTACATAGAAAAATTTTTCAAAGCTGATCCATCACTATCAAACACAGAATTATTATCTATTCAACTGTAGAAATATGAAGTAATACAAAAATGTCAAACTTACACAGCATTATTAAATCCCATTGGTAATCCACCAGCCATTTGACTGAATTTATTTTCAACATATTTAAAACGTTCTGAAGGATTTAAATTTGGTTGTAGTATACTACAAATAGCTAATGCTCCGGAATTTATTAAGGGATTATGTGGTTTATCTATTTAATAAATAAACATTTTAAATAAATATTCATTATCAGAATGAGTTTTGTGGAGATTTTAGGAAATTTCACAGGTTGAAATCATGAGTCAGTTGAAGCTAGACCACCATTGAAAACCTGGAAGCACTGGACGGCCGTTTCGTCCCAGTATGGGACTCCTCAGCAGTGCGCATCCACTGAAGACAATGGTGTTCGGTGGCGCAACTTCGTGGATTGGTTGAAGTTAGACATTAACACCGTCGGATGCCGGCTCAGTGGTCTAATGGTTAAGTGCTCGCGTGCGAAGCCAGTAGATCCTGGGTTCGAATCCCGCGGGGGGCGGGTTCGTGGCTGCGCACTGCTGAGGAGTCCCGTACTGGGACGAAACGGCCGTCCAGTGCTTCCAGGTTTTCAATGGTGGTCTAGCTTCAACTGACTCATGATTTCAATCTGTGAAATATTCATTAGACAATAATTTTCAATAAACCATAAAATAAATTCATTTAATGTTGTTTTTATTTGTATCTTTCTATTGTTATTTAGGCTGTAATTGATCAGTCTCTTGTTGGCATATATCCATCCTGTTCGGACTGCCTCGATATTGCCTTAGACCAAAAGCTTTATAAGCAAAACTGGATAGTGGCACAAGTAGGTGGCTATCAGGACTCAGTAGTTAAGTGGATACCGGGATGGTGTTTGAAGCGGACGGTACTGGGTTCGAGTCTCAGATCCAACATCAACTCTGAGATGTAGGTACATCCAGCTGATGAGTCCCGAATAGGACTAAATGCGCGTCCTGAATTCCACTGCTAACCACTATGCATTTTTGCTTATAAACCATAAAATATGTGCTGATATACTCATAATTAGGATAACTCATGTGAAACAAGTTAGTAGAGAATGTTAAATAAATTAGTTATGAAAGACTTTTATGGTTATTCACAACGCTAAATGTTTTTCAGAGGATAGATTTTTTAACGGTCTTTCTTATCATAAACTGACATTATTTAGAAGATTTAGGAGAACAAATTGATTGTTTCATCATAAATTAGAACTGACTCGTTAATACCGTGTATCCATTAACAAAACTACATGGGATCAAATACGAAGGATTGATTATGGACATAATGCCTTTAAACGTCTATTTTATTTTTTTTTACAATATCAAGCGAGAAATAATGGTTTATTTTTAAAAAACAGATAAAATATAGCTGGCAGTGATATTTAAGGTTAGCACTGTTGTTGTATTTGAGAATTGTTAGCTTAATATACACCTATCTTACAGTGTTAACATTTATACCACAACTGAAACCTAGTACTTTCTATTTTACTTCAAACAGCTCAAACATTATCCACCGTATCTACTCAGTTCAGAAAGTTATTAACTTGAATAAAGAGTTGGAATTTCTTTTCTTTTTTTCTCCTTTTTTCAACATGACCATAAATTGACTTTTCTGGCCAGACTATAATTTATGAACGAATCAATTACGTATAAGAAAACAGATCTCGGATTTTGGCAGGAAATTCACTTATCCATTTGGCTGAATAAAGTCTTGTCATTATAGTTAATGTGAGTTCGTGATGGAAACCTGAAATCTAATTCTTAACCCTTAATCATCAATTGTAAATCCTAATTTGAATTCCCCATACAGTTTCATTATCCTAATTTGATCCCGGTTGTTAAGTAGACAGATAGGATGCAGTTGGACGATCTACACTTCGTAGATGATCTGGCCCTCCTATCACTAACGCAACAATAAATGCAGAAGACGACCAGTGTAGCAGCAGTCTCAGCAGCTGTAGGTCTCAACATACACAAACGGAAAGACGAGATTCTCCTATACAACACAACATGCACCAATCCAATCACAATTGACGGAGAAAATTTGGAAGATGTAAAAACCTTTACATATTTGGGCAGCATCATTGATGAACACGGGGAATCTGTTGCAGATGTGAAGGTGCGGATCGGCAAAACAAGAGCATCATGTTTACAAATGAAGAACATCTCGGACTCGAAACAACTGCCAACCAACATCAAGGTCAGAATTTGCAATGCAAATGTCAACACAGTTCTACTGTATGAGGCGGAAACCTGGAGAACTACGAAAGTCATCATCCAGAAGATACAGGTGTTTATTAACAGTTGTCTACGCAAAATAATTCGGATCCGTTGACCGGACACTATTAGCAATAACCAACTATGGGAAAGAACAAACCAGATCCCAGAGGAGGAAAAAACCAGAAAGAAGCGCTGGAATTGGATAGGACACACATTGAGGAAAGCACACAACTGCGTCACAAGACAAGCCCTCACATGGAATCTTCAAAGCCAAAGGAGAAGAGGAAGACCAAAGAACACATTACGGCGGGAAATGGAGATAGACATGAGAAAAATGAACAAGAATTGGATGGAAGTAGAGAGGAAGGCCCAGGACAGAGTGAGTTTAAGAATTCTGGTCGGCGGCCTATGCTCCATTAGGAGTAACAGGCGTAAGGAAGTAAGTATTAAGTGAACACTTTCAAAGTCTGTCTAGTATCGCTCAATGATCGTCCATAAATTATAAATCTTATCACTTTTCTTTATGATTTGATTTATTATATTAACGAAATAAATAGATTCTGTCTATAAAAAAAATATTTTATTGATAAATTACTCAATAATAAATTATATCCCAATCTACGAAAATACAAAATATGATTGGTTAGTTTTAAGAGGATTATAAAATATGATTGGTTAATATCATTAATATAGATTTCTAGTATTTCTGTTAAAAAATAATTAAGTAACCGTTACAAAAATATAAATGGATAAAAAAACAGGAAAAATTTTATTGATTTTCATCCAGGTAGAAAAATTTACTGAAAATGAAATCATTATTTGAGAAGAAAAGATACTTAGAAAGTGATATCATATTTTAGCATCATAAAAGGTTTTATGGAGATTGTAGTAATTTCAATAGTGGAGATCATGAGTCCATTGAAGCTAATGATGAAAAATGGTGGATCTGATGCTCAATTTCGTAGATTGGTTGAATTTAAACATTAACACCGTTGGATGCTGGCCAGATCAATGGTCTAGTGGTTAAGCGCTCTTGTGTGAGACTGGGTTCGAATCTTGCAATACGGGATTGTGAATGTGCACTGTTGAGAAGTCCCACAATAGAACGAAATGACCGTTCAGTGCTTCCAGGTTTTTCATAGTGATCTAGCTTCAATAGACTCATGATCTCAACTATCAATATTTGTTTTAAAAAAATTAATAAAATTATTTTATTTATTTGGATTTAAACAAAAAGAAAAAATATGGTACTTTTCATAGTTTATATCAACTTACATACGCCTGTTACTCCTCGTGAAGGAGCGTAGGCCGCCCACCAACATTGTCCATCTAACCCTATCCTGGACAATTTTTTCCAGCTCTTTCCAGTTGTTATTCATCCTTTCCATATCTGCTATTATTTCTTGACGTAATGTGTTCTTTGACCTTCCTCTTTTCCGTTTCCCTTCAGAATTTCAATTTAGGGATTACCTCGTGATGCAGTTTGATGATTTCCGTCATGTATGTTCTATCTATTTCCATCATCTTTTGCTAAGTTCCGCTTCAGATGGAAGCTGGTTTGTTCTCTTCCAGAGGAGGCTGTTGCTGATGGTATCAGGTCATTGGATGTTGAGTACCTTGAGTAAACAACTATTTATAAATACTTATACCATCTTGATGATGGTTGTCGTAGTTCTCCAAGTTTCAGCTCCGTACAGTAGAACTGTCTTGATTTTCGTATTGAATATTCTGACTTTGATATTGGTTGAGAGTTGTTTTGAGTTCCATATGTTCTTCAATTGTTGGAATGCGGCTCTTGCTTTGCTAATCCTCACCTTCACGTCTGCATCCGATCCTCCTTGTTCATCGATGATGCTTTTCAGGTACGTGAAAGATTCCAAATCTTCCAAAGTTTCGCCATCAGTTGTGATTGGGTTGGTGTTCACCGTGTTGTATTGAGAATCTTGCTTTTCTTTTGTGTATGTTGAGGCCTACTGATGCATAGGCTTCTGTTATACTAGTTCTCGTCATCTACATTTGTTCGTGTGTATGGGATAAGAGGGCTAGATCATCAAGGATTGATCTTAATTAAACGACAATTAAAAGTTAAACAGTACCAGTTAGTTATTTGGTCATAATATCAAACCTTCTATATGTACGATCTCGAAAAAGATACAGTTTAAAGTTTTAGATCTCATACTGAGCGCTTACTATTTAAAATGATGAATCAATATTCAATAGTTAATATTCTTGACTTCAATCAATTCACGATATGCTACTCAATTATCTTTTTTTTCAAAGTCATCAATGAATATTTGCTTCATATCTAACATGATTGAACTCCATTATTTATAGAAAAAAAATTACAAAAAGTAAAAACAACTAAACATAATTTGGTGAAAACTTATAGTGAACATAATTAGATTGACTTTATTGATTGAGATCATGAAGCGATTAATGTTAGACCACCATTAAAAACCTGGAAGCACTGAACTGCCGTTTCGTTCTATTGTGGGACTCCTCAGTAGCGGGCATCCACGACCTCGCTCGCCGGATTCGAACCCGGGGCCTTCAGTCTCTCATGCGACCGCTTAACCTATTAAACTACTGAATCAACCGGCATCCAACGGTGTTAATGTCTAACCCCAACCAATCCAATAAATTTCGTGACCATCTTCCATTTTATTGAGGTAGATACCTATCTCTAGCCGACACGGATTAGCTCAACTGGTCAAGTCTTCTCACTAGACCTCCTAGAATTCCCTCACAAAGCTGTATTGTTTTCGATTTTTAAAGAGTAATACATCTGAGGTTGTTTTATTTCCACAAAATTAGTAATAAATATTTTGTATAGTTACTAAATGGTTTCTATCGTAAATATCAAGAGATAATTTAGTGTAAATAGTAGTCATAAAAATGTGATGAAAAAGAGTTAAAACCTTTGAAAACGATGGAAAAGATTTGTAACTCAATTCGATAATTTGATGCTATTGATTTCCTTGAGTGTAATGGTTTCATCTTAAAGTATGTACTGAGAGATATTTATTGTCCAAAATAATGATGAAAATTTGTTGATTCGTCTATTTTTAATGTAGATAATTCAGTACAATGTGATGTGTGCTACTTATATCCATAAGAGTAGTATATGACAATAGTCAGGAATAGAATGTATTTCAGTAGAAGATCGAGAAGGAAAGAACAGGAACAGAAAATATGCAGTAACAATGAAGTTTAAGACGACTGATTAACCTATTTCAAATGAAATATTTACTTTGTGGTTCTCAGATTTTACTAAGATATGCTGTAATTTTGTGTTCAAATACATTCGGTTACCCCCCATTTATGTTCTCCTTCACTACAACAACATTAGATTATTTAACAAATGGTTCTAAAACTTAACTTGAATTATTAACTTACTTTTATGATTTAAAGAAATTTGATTGAATGGTAATCCTGATGGTTCATAGCCAACATATTGATGAACATGTTGTGGACCTAAATCGGTCAAAGCTAATGCATATGTAATTGGTTTACTACTAGATTGTATTGTAAATGGGATAGTGCTGTCACCCATGGATAAGCTAATGAAATTTTTGGGGGAAAAGAAGAAATAAGCACGAACGAGTATCAATATTGAATGTATATATATATATATATATATATATATATATATATATATATATATATATATATATATATATATATATATATATATATACAACAATCTTGAATAAACTTGTTATTTAGATGCTGGTGTTTCTTAAAAGATTCCATTTAATAATTGTTTTAGTGAACAAACAGATATTAATAGAAGAGAATAGGTTAAAATTAATGAAAAGTTGTTACATTGAAGCAAGAGACTCCCCAACAACGATCGTTTACAATCACTTTAACATTGATTCTTTTGACAATAGTCCATTGCTCATTTTTGATCACCTCAGTCAATTCATGATTTAGTATGTGTGTGATCTTTATTCATTTCTATATAAGCGTTACTGTGGTTATTTTGATTTAGTTAACTTTACCAATAAAATGGTTTTTCAGTGAAAATGTTTCGGAATTTCGCCTAGGAGATAATCACAACAAAATACATAATTACTACTTATGTCAGTGATTTTGTAGAAAAGTTGGCTTTTTACAAATTTTATTGGCTATAGTTGAAGAACGTATAGAACTCAAAACAACTGTCAAGTAATGTCAAAGTTAGAATCTTCAATAGGAACGTCAGGATAGTTCTACTATACGGAACTGAAACTTGGCGAACTATCACAACCATGATCAAAAATGTACCTTGAGCTATTTACTTAACAACATCAATTCTAAATTTCTCAATGGAAACTGGATCATCAATGAGGGGTAGACAGTTTGACGTTATTTTATATTATATAATGTCCTTCAAATCCAAATGTAAAAGTATTTATAAACAACCGTCTACACAAGATACCCAATGTCCGTTGGTCGGATACCATGAGCAACAGCCTTCTATAGGAGAGGACAAACCAGCTGAAGAGGAAATGAGAAGAAGTCGTTGGAAGCGGAGAGCACATACGTTGAAAGAATCACCAAACTGAATCACGAGGCAAGCCATAACTTAGAATCCTGAATGGAAGCAGGAAAAGAGGAAGGTCAAAGAACACATTACGTCGGAAATTGAAGCAAGCATGAAAAGGATAAGTAGCAACCGGGAAGGATTGCCCATGACAGAGTTCGATGGAGAATGTTGGTGAGCGATTTATTGTCCTCGACGAGGGCTAACAGACGTAAGTAAGTAATTGGCTAATTAAAGAAAGATGTTTGAATGAAACATGATACAATGGACATCTAGGATGCAGTTGGATGATCTACACTTCGCAGATGATCCGGCCCTTCTATCACAAACGCAACAACAAATGCAGGAAAAGACGACCAGTGTAGCAGCAGTCTTAGCAGCAGTAGGTCTCAACATACACAAAGAAAAGAGCAAGATTCTCTGATACGACACAACATGCAACAATCAAACCACACTTGACAGAGAGGTTTTGGTGAATGCAAAAACCTTTACATAACTGGCCAGCATCATTGATGAACACTGTGGATCTGACTCAGATGTGAAGGTGTGGATCGGCAAAGCAAGAGCAGCATATCTACAACTGAAGGACATCTCGAACTCAAAACAACATTCTGTCAACCAACAACAAAGTTAGAATTTTCAATACAAATATCAAGACAGTTCTACTGTATGGGGCGGAAACCTGGAGAACTACGGAAGCCATCATCCAGATGATACAAGTGTATATTAACAGTTGACTACGCAAAATACTTCGGATTCGTTGGTCAGATTCCAGTGGAGGAAGAAATTAGGAAGAAGCGCTGGAATTGGATAGGACACACATTGAGGAAAGCACCCAACTACGTCACAAGACAAGCCCTCACATGGAATCCTCAAGGCTAAAGGAAAAGAGGAAGACGAAAGAACACATTACGGCGGGAAATGGAGATAGACATGAGAAAAATGAACAAGAATTGGATGGAAGTAGAGAGGAAGGCCCAGGACAGAGTGAGTTTAAGAATTCTGGTCGTCCGCCTATGCTCCATTAGGAGTAACAGGCGTAAGTAAGTAAGTTTGAATGAACATACAGTAATTGTTTATTAGGAATTCAACGGATCATATAAGTTTCTCTAACATCCTGAAGTAAGCTATTTATTCATCATCAAAGAGCAGTGGCTTATTGTTAGGTAGAGTTGAAACAAGTTGCAAACCTGAATTTATTGTATCTAAATCCATTAAGCAACTCTCTATCAAGTTTTTACATTAAGTTATATTATTGATATTACATACATAACCCTGAATCGAATCTCTGCCTAGAGATACTCATGATATATATATTTCATATTCTTAACAATGCCACCAAAGTTATGTTTTCATCACACTTTGTGAATTTTATTAGGCTACTTTTAAAAAAGGTTGAAGTTTATTTTTGGGAATCATACTATTCAGTAAAATAAATTCACTGATGCATCCAGCGAATACTACCAATAAGTTGTAGCTGATGTTCAAGTGATCAAATCCTACATAAACATCAAAAGAAAAAAACGAAGTAAACAAAGGGTAATTATCAATCAATATCATTAACTGCTATGTTATATATTACTTTGATCATCTTCATAGCCTTCATCCAATCTACTCCTATACAAGCTAATATAACGCTACAAAAGATTCAATGTCTTGACTAACGTACTCAATAAAGTTTTACAATCTTATTAATTACTCTACCATCTCTACTTATATATTCAATTAAATAAATGAAAACTACAATCATCAAAAATATTAGGAACCCATGATTATCATTCAACTTCAAAGACAATACGAATGTATGTTATGTATTAAAACCGATTAAACTTAGAATCTATTTGAAAGTAATTCACTTATATAATTGATAGTATTCTTTCGATAACCTTTCTTCGAAACAAGTATAAATTATTGAAAGGCGCTATTTAATTACCTTTGAAAAAACGAATTACCATATTATTAGAATTAGAATTCAGTTTTACGTTTAAAAAGATAAATATTACTATAAATAGTAGTATAAATATAGATATGACTTATTCTAGTTTAAAACTATAGTTTATTGTATTAATCAAGTGAAAAGAGAAAAGTAATTTCACTAGTTGTGTAAAGCATGTATTTTATCAAATTCATTGGATTGTTTTTATGATATTACAGTTGATTAATCACTGGGTGATGATCAATGTCATGTGTGTCAAGTCCTTCTTAGTGCACATAGAATTCTATCGACCAATTTGCAATGTGGCCACTAGTCTAGGTGACTCGACATCGCGTGCACTATGTTGAGATTAGATGGTGGTTGGAGGTAGTTGACAGGATACCTTGGACCCGGGTTTCGTGCTACTTGGCACACGTCAGCAAGGTGTACCTGTAGTCTTGAAGGACTGGTGCTCCCTAACGGACTCGATCCGTGTCACCCAGCTTCACAGTCAAATCGATAGCATTCGATCTACACTAAGAAGAACTTGACACACATGACATTGATCACCACCCAGTGATCAACCAATTGTGATTACATCACAGTCCTACAAGAGTTCATTCGCGGCCCGGATAGCCCACTGGTAATGCCTATGACTGTGAAACTGGGTGACACGGGGTCGAATCTGTCAGGGAGCATTAGTTACACCAAGACTACAGGTACACCTTGCTAACGAGTGCCACGTAGCACGAAACCCGGATCCAGGGATTCCTGTCGACTACCTCCCACCACCATCTAACTGTTTTTATTATAACTTGATTAAATTGGAAGATTAAGTAAAATCTTTGTGAAGGTAATTAACACTGTAGTGAAAAATGTTTTAATCAGAAAGGGGTATTGTGGATATTATAGTAATTTTAATAGTTGAATTCATGAGTCAATTGAAGCTAGACCACCATGGAAAACCTGGACGGCCGCTTCATCTTAGTAGGGGACTCCTCAGCAGTGAACATCCACGACCTCGCCTCGCGAGAATCGAACCCAGGACCTATCAGTCTCGCGCACGAACGCTTAACCTTTAGACCATTGAGCCGGCATTAAATGGCCTTAATGTCCAACTTCAACCAATCCAAGAAGTTGCGCCACAACAGATCCGGTTGAACTTATTTGGTCACGGAACTCCAGGAAATACCTCTTGTAGACCGTCACTAGTAAACATATGATGATTATAATCAGAGAGGGGTTTTGTGGATATAATACTAATTTAGTAGTTTAATTTATGAGTCAATTGAAGCTGGACGACTAGAGCTTCCAGGTTTTCCATGATGGTCTAGGTTCAATTGACTCATGAATTCAACTACTAAACGTTTTTTTTGGTTAAGATTTATAATAAACTCATGAAACATACTTAGTAGCTCAAGATGTTAAGGCCTAAAATTGGTTACAGATATATTCATTTGTTAGTTTCCTTTAAAATCTTTAATTTAAGTATTACTTAATTGTTAGGTCCCGATAAGCATAATGAATGGTAACTTTTAGGATCCATTTATGGACCAATAATATGCGCATATTTTTATCGTATAATTGTCATGCAACTAAACTATTTATATTCAAGTCCCTCTTAACATAAGCTTTATTTTGATCTATGAACTATTATTATATAATTTACTATTCTTGAGTTATTCCCTGTCTAATAATCACTACCTCCCTCATTCACAGCCACATTTGACTAAGTCTTGTACAAATGTTGTTCCATATTTTATGGTACGGTGTGGTCTGTTTGATTTGTATATGAACTCAGTACGTTTGAAATATAAGGATTCATATTGCAGAGGCTGAGACTAGTGTTCTGGACTTAACTGGCTAGGCTAGGCGGAAAGCAGGACCAATCAGGACTCTAGGCTGCTCGTACTTTTTTTACCCATCGTTGGTCCGATCGATAATCCACTGCTCTCTAATTGGAGGTATTATTACGTTATTTGTTAACAGGGCACTCAGGCTACAAGTTATAGCAATTGACGACGGGGATGGGATTCGAACCCACGTCAGGAAACCCTAATGTCACAATGTCATTCTTCTCATTTGACCAATAATTTTCTAATTCTACGTTGTTTATATCTGTATCTATTTTGGCTTTAGATAACTTGGGAGATCGTTAATTTATAGGCTATTATTTGATGGGATAATATCATTCAAAATAAACACAGTAAGAATCAGTGATTTCTTAACTTCACATGGTGATTATTGGACTGAATACATACGACTACTTTAAAATAATTGAAGTTATGAGTAGTTAATCAAGTTATAAAAGAATAAACAACATTTCTTGAATAATTTCGATATTCATCACTAATATAAGACACTAAAAGACATCCATCTTTATTTCCTAATAGAATCTATAATATGATACATTCTTTTGGACAAAATAATAACTCACTTATAAATTTCAATCTAATGGATGCCAATCATTCAGTAGATATAAACTATTAATTGATGAAAATTTTCATCTTATTAGTATATAATGAAGAATAAAACCACTTTCAGTAAGAATTTTGAATTGATTTGCCCTATTTATTTAAAACAATCCTCATCATTAGTAACAAAATCATTTAGAAACAAGAAGGCTTTATAAAACGCTTTGTCTCAATACTTGCCTTCTCAACAATTCACACAGTGGATGCAGTCACTAGTAGTAATAGTAATTGTAGTAGTAAATAATTACTATACCGCTAAACACGGTAAATATACCTATGGTGAATCATATCGCGACCCGGATGGCCCAGTGGTAACGCCTATGACTGTGAAGCTGGGTGATACGGGATCGAATATATATATTGTAAATCATCTGTTCAAACTTGAAAGAATTCATCACACTTACCGTTGTCCATCTACAGTGCACAATGATAAACCCCAATAGTTCGGATTCATTTCTTTTAATTCTGGTATATAACTGGCTACTTGACCACTTGTATTTTCTTTGCATAAATTAAAAACTGTTTGAATTTCACTTGCAAATGATTCAAAATCTGGTATACAAAAATCATTTGTCATAATGCGTAATAACATATGAAGATTTTCTTTTGCTACACTGAAATAAGAAACGCAGTGTAATTTGAGATAGTGGAGAGAAGATTTGTAGCTCAGGTGGATGATTTTGATGGAGTTTCGTTCTCTGAGCTGGATGGTTTGGTCAAGGAATATTCATCGTTCAGGTTTGTGCTGACGAACTCGTTCAGAAGAACGATAAAAGCTCCACGACCAAACCATCCAGCTCAGAGAACAAAACTCCATCCACACGATGTAACTTAATTTATCTTATAATTATTTCAGTATAAATAGAAATTAATAAAATAACCAATAAAACTGAGTGGAGTACTGAGAAAACACTATGTTTCCGACCTTATATCATCAAGAACATATGCTCAGAGACTGACAAAGGATGTAATCCAGGAATACCGGGAAAATGACAGTGAGAAAGATACTTTCAAGTCATTGAGTAGGAATTCAGTGGCTCATATTTTTAAATCTAGCTACCGTGATACAACGTGATTATCAGTGAATATTATCGTTAAGTTACTATATCAACTCGAACTTTTCTAGCTTCATATGTCATTTCATACTTGCTCAAATTGTTGCAACTTTGGAAATATCTAATCTTATTTACGAACCTATGCATAGTGAAATGATTCAATTTATACTTTACGTTCAGCCATAGGAAATTTTGCTGAATTAGATTAGGTGAAACAAATAAGTATTAGCATACTTTGAAAGCAACAAATACACATTTTGATGAGCTAACTGACCAATTACTGGTAAATAATGTCATCAGTATGCGGTTGGAGAGATTCATTATCTCAGTCAACAAAAAGTGTCATACCTATCTAATCCTTGGTTCTGATAGAACTCGGTGGACTAGTTCACCAATTAGTCACTAGTCTAAGTGAATAAATACTGCAATGTTTGATAGTAATGGACAAAAATCTCTAAATCTCGATTTGGGATAGATAATACACGTCATAAATGCAACCCGGTGAACTTTGAATAGAACTACGAAGTAAATGACATAACATTGATTGCTACTCAGTGATTAATGTACAGATTTCAGTAGTACATAAAGTCTTTCAAATCATAAATATACTCATTTACTATGTTTTCTGTTGTGAAAATGTGACCCAAGCGTTTGATCTCCATTCAAAGCATGAGTTCTAGTAAAGATTATACATATATATTAATGCGAATAACTTAGCACAATGTCCTCCACTTGCCTATTGCGATTATTATTATTATATCTTGAGGATAAAAACTATAAATTACGCCATACATTTGTTTAGATTTATTCAGTTTATCACTCTCTTAATTCTTAATCAATATATTATCAAGGCTAGATACACTGAATACATATACATTTAGACGATTTGGAATTCCTCGAGAAATAAACTGTGTTAGCATAATCCGCGTCTGATAATCTTCGTATTACTAGTATAATGGTTGTGGAGATTATTAAGTTTTTGATTGAGATCATGAACTTATTGATGTTAGACCACCACCTTTGGAAACCTGGAAGCACTGGACGGCCGTTCTGTCCTAGTATGAGACTCCTCAGCAGTGCGCATCCATGATCCCGCTCGTGGGATTCGAACCCAGGGCCCTTGGTATTGCACACGAACGCTTAACTAACTGGACCATTGAGTTGGCATCCAATGGTGATAGTGTCTAACATCAGCCAATCCACGAAATTGCACGACCAACTTCCGTTGTACTGAGGTAGATACCTGTCTCTACCCGACATGGATTAGCTCCACTGGTCACGGCTTCTCACTAGGACTTCGAGAATTCCCTCACGAAGCTAGTCACTAGTGAGCACATGTTGATCGCAATTTATCAAAGGGACTAATTGCTTTATAAATTTATCTGATATAAAAACATAAATAAAACTAATCAATCATTACACAGCGTACATTCGAAATGTTTCTCTATCCAACGTTAATGATTTACTTTGTAGAACATTTCTATTGATTTTATTACCTTGTAATTCATTCAATGCTTTTGTAAATTTTGCTAATCTTGGATCATTCAATGATATACCAGCTTTATTCATTAACTTTGAAATGAAGTAAAGAATTCAATGATAAAATGTCAATTTAAAGTTTTATAAATATATTTCTTTAAATAAAATATGAAAAAATTCATTCACGTTCACAGTAATAATGTGGTGTAAGCTACTTATGTCGATATAAGTAGTATATAACACTAATCAGAAGTGGAATGCCTGGTAGTAGAAGGATGGGAAGATCGGATCAAAGAGAACGGAAACAGAAAGGTATTTGTTAATTCAGTGAAGGAACGATGAAGTTTGAGACAACCGATGTAAGATCTACAAATGTATTATTGAACGTATGGTTTCCACATTTTACCAAAGAACTCTGTAATTTTGCATTAAAATACATCCGCTTGTCCTCATCTGTGTTCTTGTTCATTACAGTAATAGCAGTTTATCGGTCAATGTTTTATAGCTGACTGTTGTATTCAGGTTAATCTTAAGGCGAAAACGTATATGAATGTGTTGTTTATTTTATCACGGCTTAAATAAATATATTGCATAACTAAGGTGAAAGAATTAGTAGAGACTATTCTACATGAAATTAGCTTCGATTAATAATTACCATCATCTTTGGAACTATTGAAAACTATTTAACATTAAACAGCTTTGCTAATAATACATATTCTGAAGATTTTTCTAGTTTTACGCTCCTCAGTAATGCATATCCAAATATTCACTGAATTAAGAACCTAGTATTGAAGTGTGTGCTAATCATGTTGATAGATATAAGTAGTATGTAACATCAATCGAAAGTAGGATACCTGACAGCAGAAGGTTGAGAAGATCGAATAGAAGAGAACTGTAATATAAAGTGATTGATATGGAAATGAAGAAACAACAAGGTTCGAGACAATGGACGTATGGTATTCACATTTTATTAAATAACTCTGTAATTTCATATACAAATGCATTCGATTGTCGTTCACAACAGTACCTTTAATTCTTATATCACAGATTACTTCTAAACCGTTCAAATATATTCAATTATACATTTAATATTTATCACGAGGCAAGCCTTAACTTGGAATCCTGAAGGGAAACAGAAAAGAGAAAGATCAAAGAACAGATTACGTCAGGAAATAGAAGCAGATATGAAGAAGGATGGATAACAACTGGAAAGCCGAAAGTATTACCCAAAACACGGTTGGATGGAGATTGCTGGTGGGCAGCCTATGCTCCTCTACAAGGAGTAACAGGTGTAAGTAATTAAGTAAGTTATAAGTATATGAAGTATTTAAATGTTTTATTTACATTAAAAGTGAGATTACTACTGATATTTCACCAGTACATTTTAATTATCAATACAAATAATAAATATTTCATAGTATTTATTCTTAATATATAAATACTTTATATATTGTCATTATTAAATTATGTTTCCTTCACATTCACATATGAATATATAATTATTTTATTTATTTATTTAAACACATAAACATTCGTACAAGGAGGGACCAGATACACATGTGCCATATTCATTCGATTTGTGTGAGGACTGTGATACTGCCCGCACACTCAAACGGAAGCAGGTGGTTTTCTAAGGGGGCCACACCCGGAGACTTCGGCCTGAAGGTTTGATCCATTAGGCAGTGTAGCAACGTCAGGAGATGCAGTTCCATGGTAGCCGGTGGCCAACGATTGGTTCATACGACATTTGTTCCCTCAGGATCCTGGAGCCAATGTACACCATTGGTTTGGAATCAGGGTTTTCCAACTTCCCTAGGTAGATCCTCCATATCCATCAACCCAGTTAAAGTGCCGGACATTCACTTTTCGTCCTCTCGATTTCGTAAACAACATCCCCGTCACGAGGAAGTAGTGAGTAGGACTTCCCTGGTAGTGGTTGTTTGCACGTGGCCATGTGAGAACATTTCTAGAAGGAGAGTTGACTCTCCTCATTCTCGGCCGTGCCAGGCCATTTGGAGGCTATGAATATATAAGTATTCTAATAATTATGAAAACCATTTTTTCTTCATAGATACTTTATCCTAGTCTAAATTTAACACAATAGCACCAACCTATCGACTACAATTAAGATCATACTTTGAAATTTCACAGTAATTCAGATATCATATTACAACTGGATGAAAATTTAATAGTCCATAGTTTACACTTTCTGTAATTTGATCTGTGGAAAAGTAATTATCCCTTGTTATCAGTAATATCTATTCTATTGTTTAACCATGGCTAAACTTCACCAATTATGATTTCTCACTAGAGATTCAATCATTCCAGAACTATGAAAATTAAATATCAAGAACGAGTTGTTAATTATTTTGAAGAATGATTTTAGAAAGGTTTTGACTGTAATTCTCAAAGTACTATTTTATCATGGGATAAAATTGAACTGGACAACTATTTCATTGACAAGGAAAATAATAACAATTATCACGTATTTACATGAATCCAACTTGGAGAAGTAATTTCCAGAGTTCCAATCGGAAGTCATGACCTCAGGAGTTAAACCTAATCGGGTATCAAGCATATATCACCAGTGGCAATGAATGATATCTGCACAATATCGTGATTCGACTGGAATTATAAATATAAATCCCTGGATGACAACTCAGCATTCTGTAGGTTAAGAGCCCATCACGGAACATGCAAGTTTTGAGTTTGTTCCCTGGCAGAGTTATTAATGTGTACTGCAGACGAGTCCCATAACTAGAACGAAACAGTTATTGAGTACTTTCGGTTTCCTAACATTTATAACATCATTTAGTTATTTTAACAAACCTCTTTTTTTCTTAAAAATCACAGAATCCGAAACATTACCAAAATCATTTAATTAATAGCCTAAAGTGTAGAAGTCGGAAGTGTAGCTAAGCTAAAATGTAAATAATAATCGGGAGTTTTATCAAAAATACATTTCCTAGAAAATTCTACTAGACAATACACAGAAATCAAGTACGGTAGAAAATTACGGTCACGATAAGGCGATAAGTCTGATGTACTGTTCTTCTATATAATTCCAATCTTAAGCTATGGATGGTCAATAGTTCTGTAATATGAAATAAATTTAAATAAATACTTCTTAAATACTCAAGTGTACTTTGTAAAATAGATCAATGTAAGAACATAGCTCTGAATATTTAGAACCTACTATATGCTTACAAGAAAAAAAGGTAATTGATCCTCTGTCTTCTTTTAAACTAACCTATTAAATATTCTCAAATGTGATGAAGCAGAGACCTTGAAAAACAATCTTTGTACCTGACTCCTTAAGAGTAGGTGGATGTCTACAATTATATAGAATTAGTCAATCTTATTAAATCATTAGTCATAAAAAGACATGAAATTGTAACTATTGTCTATCATACAAAGATTCACGGTATGAAGAGTCCTTCAGAATGACTTTTGCAGATAGTTCTTAAGTATATGTCTAGTAATATCTTCCTTAAATTTATGTCCAATAAACAGTATTTCCTTGGTGATTGAGTATTATTTATTCTGTATATATATTTTGATTAATAAGCTCAAACTGATACTTCAAAAAGGCTCACTTTAGAGAAATCAGTCCATACTCCAAACACTATCGATGACAAATCCTTTAGGTCAAAAAAAGGTAATGACTAAATTACTTTCTCATCTTACTGAAATTCAATTGCGAACGTTTTCTGACTAAACTATAAGATATAAATGACCATTCAGCAATTATGAAGAGACCAGAAGAAACACTAATTAATTAATAGATTCAAAATATGGTTATGAATTACTGTTGAAGTGAACGAGAACATAGGCGGGGGCAAAATCGAATATATTTGAATACAACATCACAGAATTTTTTTAGTAAACTCTAAGAACCATAAAGTAAATGCTTCATTTACAAAATGTTTAACCAATTGTCTCAGACTTGACAGTTTCTTCGTTTTCACCATAATCATTCTCTAGTTTTGTTCTCTTTTCTTCAATCTTCTTAATCTTATACCTTCAAACATTTCCTTTTTCGATTGATAACAAATCGTACTTATATCTGTTAACATTATAGTAGCACACACCACACTATCTAATATGAATATCATGTTTCCATGTTGAAAATTATGATCAGAATCTTCATCACAAGCTGATATACACTGAAATAGTAGAACTCTATATTAACTACATAGACGAGTAAATTTCATTTATTGATTCATCAATGATAAACCCGTCAGTTTGTTTACTAAAAATAGATCGTTTCAATGTTTCTGTTTTACTATCTTTTTTTCCTGTAAAAGTTCATTCAATTTAATTTGTAAATACATCATATTCATTTATCTAAGTTATACAATTGCTAGGCCTAAATATTGTTATGTTTTAAACAATTATTACAAATGAGTTTGAATTATTGATAAGATTTAATGGAATGTTGTATATTTTGTAAATGTATCTACAGTATTGTGAATGATTTTGAATGATTTCATTTAAAGTATGTAACTATTGGCAACAATAATGATGTATAACTTAACTGGTAGAACAAATACTTAAATGAAGAAGATTTGTAGCTTAAGTGAATGATTTTGATGAAGTTTTGTTCTTTGAGCTGAATAGTTTAGGTTGTGGAAGTTTCATTGTTCTTCTGAACGACATCATCAACACAAACTTTAGATAAAAGTTAAGTGTTCAAATTTCTTCATATATGGTTCATAGTTTATCCTGTAGACTTCGATCTTGATTGGCTATTGTTGAGAAATTCATACACTTCACTTTTATTTGAAATTTATTCTGATGATGTCGTTCAAAAGAACAATGAAACCTTCACAACCTAAACCATTCAGCTAAGAGAATAAAACTTCATCAAAATCATCCACCTGAGCTAAAAATCTTCATTTAAGTATTTATTCTACTGATTAAGATATAAAGCATTATCAGAATGAGTTTTATGGAGAGTTTTAGAAATTTCACAGGTTGAAATCATGGGTCAATTGAAGCTAGACCACCATGGAAAACCTGGAAGCACTGGACGGCCGTTTCATCCTAGTATGGAACTCCTCAGCAGTGCGCATCCACGATTCCGCACCACGCGGGGTTCGAACCCAGGACCTATCAGTCTCACGTGCGAACGCTTGACCTCTAAACCACTGAGACAGCCGGCATCCGACGGTGTTAATGTCTAACTTCAACCAATCCACGAAGCTGCGCCACCGTACACCATTGTCTTCAGTGAGCTGGTATCTCACAACAGACCTGGTTGAACTCCACTGGTAACGGCTTCTCACTAGAACATTATTATTGTTGCCAATAGTTACAGATTTTAAGTGTAATAGTTCAGAATTGTTCAAAATACTGTAAATGCATTCACTCTTTATATTCTGTTAGATCCGAAATTCCAAAATCTTTTTAGATATTTTTATCTTGTTTCTTTAATTAATGTTTTTTTGAATACTATTGATCCTGTTACTAATTCTACTATCTTGAAATGTGTCTTGATGAATTTATCTCGCTAATTCAATGACCTGAGGCAAATTGAACCTATATGCATTTGCGTATAACTGACTGTCCATCAAAAATAATCTGAATAAATTGACTATTTAAAACAAACAATGTTGTCAACTGTTTTAAAAAGCGATTTCTTTTCTTTTCTTTTAAATAATGTCGATAATGGTAATGTTATTTTTAAATTCATCATCTAGTATGAATCAACTTCATTATTAAAAAGTCCTTTATACCATATATCTTAATCAAACAATAAAAAAAGTCTACATTGATTAGTGATCATTGTCATTGAACAATTTTATTCGATCAAGTTGCTAAGTGGTCATTAATTTAAGTAACTTGACATTGTATACACTATGTTGTCAAAGTATGAATTTTTATTTGTTAGATTGTCCATTTCCTGGAGATGGATACTTTTGTATTAAGGATCATGAACTAATCTTAATCTTTAGTAGGATACTTTAGATAACATTGTTTAAAATCAATAGCATTATAAACAAACCTACACTCCTTTCCCCCCCCCAAATCTATCTATTGCTTATCTTTTGCTTGTACACTATTCAATATTTTTTATTGCTATACTATACTATACTACTGTTATGTGTAATGAATTGAGTCTGTTCTCATTTGTATCATAGCTTACTTTGTTTATAGCTGATTGTTAGACTTAAGTCTGATTCAAATTTATCAATTATCTTCAAACAATTGGTAGAATAGTTAAACTGTCAATTCAGAGTTATACAATAATGAGATTAGTTTTAGATAATTTCATAAACAAACATTTAAACAAAAAAAATTATGAGCAAAGATGAATAGTGACTAGCAGTGGAATCCAGGACGCGCGTTTCGTCCTATTTGGGGCTCGTCAGCCGGGTGTACCTGCATCTCGGACTTTATGTTCACTTTGGGACTCGAACCCAGTACCGTCCGCTTCAAACACCATCGCGGTATCCACTTAACTACTGAGTCCTGGTAGCCACCTGCTTGTGCTATCGGGTGAAGTTATATTCAGTTGGTGTTGTTTACTTGTATCTCCCCATTGTTATTTAAGACTACAACTGATCAGTCTCTTGTTGGCATATGTGCATATGAGTCCCAGAGTGAACATCAACTCTGAGATGCAGATACATCCAGCTGACAAGTCCCGAATAGGATGAAACGCACGTCCTGGATTCCACTGTTAGCCACTATCCATTTCTGCTTATAAAGCTTATGACTTCAGGCGATAACGAGGCAGTTCGCACAGGATGCACATATGCCAACAAGAGACTGGTCAATTGCAACCCTGAACAACAATCGGAAGATACAAGTAAACAAAATCAAGTGAAAAATGAAAAACTATACAAATACATTAAACAGTAACAATATACATTAATAATGATATAACTTACTTCAATTAAATCATAAATATCAATTATGTCACTATCATCCTTTTTAACTAAATCGAATACATAATCATAAACGCCTATTTGATAACGATTCCTATAAAGAAAAATTATTTAAATACTCAATGGAATAAACTGTTTACATATTTATTATTTTAGTAATAAGAAAATGTAATGTAAGTAAGTATACACTTTCATTGATTCCTAATTCAACTTTACAACGATAATTGGTAATAACAATAATAATAATAGGAAATTTTAGATGCTTATGTCTAATGGGAATCCTGAAGGGAAGCGGAAAAGAGGAAGGTCAAAGGACACATTACGTTAGGAAATAGAAGCAAATATGAAGAAGGATGAATAGCAACTGGAAAGAGCTGAAAAGTATTGCTCAGGACAAATTTGAATGGAGAGTGTTGGTGGGCGATATATTTCTCTCCACGAGGAGTAACAGGAGTAAGTAATATTTAATGGGCTTGAAGGTTGATAATAATTATGTATAAAAATACCTTATAAATATACCCCTGGTTATTACAATTTGTTGAGAACTAATTATTTGTATATGGGAAAATGTTTGTATAGATTCACCAGATGATGATGATAAATGAATAACTGTAATTCGAAGAGTGAAAAGAAAAGAAAATAGTGCTATCATAAAGAGACTGCTGTTTATTTTTCTGGCCTAAACAGATCAGAAATTTACATCTTCAGTGTTATATAGAACCAAACACTTGCTATAAGGACTGTTGAAAAAAAGCTGTGTTTTTGTGATTAAGGTCACTGTATACATGAGTATTTAAATCTGCAGCACTGAAATCACTGATTATTTTTGACGTATAATAAATACACTGAAAGTTGTACATTATACTGTTTGTATTCTGCGCAATGATCAAGGTTTATTAAGAAAAGTATACAAATAATGTAAACTTAACTATTCCTGTTCTGCTCTGAAATATTGATTTTTGGTATTTTGTTGGTGAAAACGCCCTAAAGATTCCTACCAGCTTTCATCAAAAATACATGAAAAAGTTCTATTTTAACAAAAAGTGTCATGTTGATATGGTGAATAACTATGAACACAATATTTTAACATTAAATACATCAGTTTTGTCATCTCGATCAAATATTCTTAGAAAAATTAGATAGTGAGTACTTTTTATGTTATAGTTCATCCTAGTTAATTGAGAAAAACACTGGATTACTAGTCTTCCACGATAGACACCGTGAATTTAAACCATTTAAATTGTATATTTTTGTTAGCTTGAGGTCAATGGAATTGTGTATTTTTTGTACATTTGTTGACAAAAGGAAATCCAGTACTATATAGCACTTATTATTTATCTTTTAACATAAGAAAAATTAAGTCATCAATTTTCATGCTTTACTCATGTAAACTTTTGAAACTAATGGTACTATCCATTATAACTAAGTATATATATATAACTACAAATGTTAGTCTTAGGAGGATAAAAACTACTACTAATTTGTGTCACATGAAAAAAGATATAATAGTTCCAACTACCTGACTACAACTGCAAACTTTAAACGTAAAACACTGGCTAGTGAACTACAGTATGATATACGAATAAAATGAGTATAAGGAATATATTTAAGAAGACATGGATAACACAATTTATTCAATGATATTTTGTGCCGTTGTTTTACTCAAAACTCTTAACTTCGAACCGAATGATTTTAGTATCACAGTAACCGGATCCCATTACATCAGATAGCCAAGTAATACATGCTTTTCATTCGTAGTCCTATACAACATATGGCACTGATTTAGTATTCAGGCTTTTACCAACTGACGAATTTAGCTAATATATGTTTCGTTCTACCATACTCTATCAAAGTGAATTACGAGCTGCTGGCGTGTGATATTACAAAAAGTAGTTGGCAATGACTAATTTAATCTTGATTGATAAATAACACGCATCGTGTGGAAAACTGAGTTCGAACTGTTATGTCTGGAGAACTGCCGATTTCATCTTTATTTGATTTAGTTTTATAAGTTGGTGATTGATTCAAAGTGAATTTCAGTTGCTAAGATGCTTTTATATCCCACCGGATTCGTTTACTAAGCATTTATTTACGCCTTCAATACTCGTGTTCTTTCCTCTCATTTGACGAACCTTCAGCATTTCTGGATTTACCTTTTAAGTAAAATCAAAAACGATGGTAAGTTTAGTCTGATATAGATTGAACTTTTCTAGGTTTATACATTTTTAGGGCCAAAATATGATTTGCTCAAAGTTTATTCCATTTTGTAGGCTTTTTGAGGATGTTTACAACTTTATTATGATATAGTATAATACTGACTAGCGCACATTGGCGCAATGCTAAATTCTTGACAGCTAAAATAAGGATTCCAGACTTGGTACGAAATATTTTCTTAAACAAAGTTAAAATGGACGAATCGGTCGGTCATCAATTTATACATCCACAATGAATAAATTATTTAAGAGCCAGGATTCTGCTTCTATCTTTCCATATAAATATACTGATACTTTTTACAGCTCTGATACTTTGATGTTATTTCTGCAGCTACAAATTATGAAAATATGATTTATGCTTTATAGTGAACACGAGACAATTGTGAAGATTAACTAACTGTATTTTATTTTTTCCCGTCGTTCCACACTCAATGTTTTTGTATTTTGAGGCTGCAGCATTCAAAGTATGCAAACTTCTCGTAGTTCTACATAAATTTATGGAACTTTTTTCCTTTATCCATGGTTTAATGTTTTCACAGTTTTTGCCCTGAAAAAAACAAAAATCAGTTAAGCACTAAATAAATAGTTCATTAAAATTCTGGACAACTCTTCGGACATCAGAAAAAGTTTACAAATATACAATAGCTGCAAAAACAATCTATAAATGGTGGCTCTGTCCTAAATGTTTCGGACAACAAATTTCACTACTTTACTTCAGAATGTTAGTTATGCAAATTCGGTAGAGTAATTATCAAATAAAATTTGTTATTTTGCATGTTTGCAGATAACTAATTATTTTACCTGACTAGCTTGTATAGTGTATATTTTGGTTTATTGCTACCTATAATATCTGTAGTGTTTAAAAATCCTGGAAAGTAGCAAGCATAAGCTATGTGAGGGTCAAACACTATACAAACGCAGACCAGTTCTTTTTATGTAATTGTAAGTATTATTATAGGTGCCTCTGCATCCACTAGACTTTCTGGTCCGAAACTTATATACAGATTTGAACAAAGCTTATCAAGTAGAACTCCGCCTGTAGCTCTAACAGGGTTACTGCCGGTCCCAAGCCCGGATAAAGGAGGAGGGTTGGGCATGGGGTTAGCGTCCCCATCCCGTAGAAAACTAACTCGCTAAAAAAACGCTTACCAGAAAAAATAATCCAAACCATTTAAACTCTGCCCTGGGAGTTAGAAGGTCTTCAGTTAGAAGAATTATGACGCTTCATGGTGAAAGCCGAGTTCCTTCGGAAGCCACGAGGCCGATGCCCCTTCTAACAACCAGAGCAAAAATTTTTATAGGTACATGGAACGTTCGAACAATGTGGGAAACCGGGAAGACCAGTCAAATAGCAATGGAAATGAGGAGATACAACTTAGCAGTACTGGGAATCAGCGAAACCCACTGGACCCAAGCTGGACAGAAAAGGCTAGCTACGGGAGAGATGCTGCTATACTCCGGTCACGAAAAGGAAAATGCTCCACACACTCAGGGAGTCGCTCTTATGCTGTCCAAAGTAGCACGAAATGCACTTGTAGGATGGGAGTCTCACGGATCCAGAATCATCAAAGCATCATTCAAAACAAAGAAGGAGGGGATCTTAATGAATATTATCCAATGTTATGCACCCACCAATGATAGCAACGACGACATTAAAGATCAGTTCTACGAGCGGCTGCAGTCAATCATTGAGAAATGCCAAGAAAGGACCTAACTATTCTGATGGGAGATCTAAATGCCAAAGTCGGAATAGACAACACTGGATATGAAGATATTATGGGACGACATGGACTGGGAGAAAGAAACGAAAATGGAGAAAGATTTGCAAATTTGTGTGCATTCAACAAATTAGTCATAGGAGGCACAATATTTCCACACAAGCGTATACACAAGGCTACATGGATCTCACCGGACCACACTACAGAGAACCAAATAGATCATATTTGCATCAACAAAAAATTCCGAAGGACAATGGAAGATGTGAGAACCAGGAGAGGTGCTGACGTAGCTTCAGATCACCACCTAGTTGTAGCCAATTTAAAACTGAAGCTAAAAAAGAACTGGACAAGTGGACAAACAGCACTACAAAGGTTCAATACAGCCTTCCTTCGAGATACTGACAAACTCAATGAATTCAAGATAGCTCTCAACAACAGGTTCCAAGCCTTACAAGATCTACTGAATGAAGAAGAAACTAGTATGGAGGACAACTGGAAAGGCATCAAGGAAGCATTAACTTCAACGTGTCAAGAGGTTCTGGGCCTAAAGAAACACCATCATAAGGAATGGATCTCTATAGAAACACTGGACAAGATCAAAGAAAGGAAGAACAAGAAGGCAGCAATTAACAACAGCCGAACACGAGCAGAGAAAGTCCAAGCACAAGCTGAATACATAGAAGCAAACAAACAAGTGAAGAGGAGCATTAGAGCCGACAAGAAGAAATACGTGGAAGAACTAGCAACGACGGCAGAAAAAGCTGCTAGAGAAGGAAATATGAAACAGCTTCACGATACAACGAAGAAACTAGCAGGGAAATACAGTAAACCAGAGAGGCCGGTCAAAGACAAAGAAGGCAAGCCAATCACCGAAATTCAACAACAGCGTAACAGATGGGTAGAATACTTCGAGGAACTCCTGAATAGGCCGGCTCCAATGAATCCACCGGACATCGAAGCAGCACACATAGATCTTCCTATAGATGTCAACCCACCAACGACGGAAGAAATTAGAATGGCCGTCAGACAAATCAAGAACGGGAAAGCAGCAGGACCCGACAACATACCAGCTGAAGCACTGAAATCAGACATCGAAGCAACCACAAGCATGCTATACCTTCTATTCAAAAAGATTTGGGAGGAGGAACAAGTGCCGATGGACTGGAAAGAAGGACACCTCGTCAAGATTCCAAAGAAAGGAGATCTGAGCAAATGTGAAAACTACAGAGGCATTACACTACTGTCAATACCAGGGAAAGTCTTCAACAGAGTGTTGCTGAACCGGATGAAGGATGCAGTAGACGCCCAACTTCGAGATCAACAAGCTGGATTCCGTAAGGATCGGTCGTGCACAGACCAAATTGCAACACTACGGATCATCGTCGAACAATCAGTTGAGTGGAACTCATCACTATACATCAACTTCATTGATTATGAAAAGGCATTCGACAGTGTAGATAGGAGGACATTATGGAAACTTCTTCGACACTACGGAGTTCCTGAGAAGATTGTCAACATTATCCGGAACTCATACGACGGACTACAGTGCAAAGTAGTGCATGGAGGACAGCTGACAGATGCATTCCAAGTAAGGACTGGAGTCAGACAAGGCTGTTTACTCTCTCCCTTCCTCTTTCTTCTGGTGGTCGACTGGATTATGAAGACCTCAACATCTGAAGGAAAACACGGAATACAATGGACAGCTCAGAATCAATTAGACG